GTTGAAATCTTCTTTGTTATCTAAATATTTTTGTCATAAAGGTTAATGTATTGTATAATTGTATATTTATTTATAATTTATTTATTTATAATTTATTTATTTATAATTATATATATTTTTTTTAAATATACTGCGGTCACATTAGAATTTTTTACGGTTTTAATGAAATTGGCTAACATTGTTCGTAAATTAAAACATTGATTGATATTGTCGAGGGATTGAAAATTAGGTATCAAGTCAATGATGGCGGTTTAATTATACACGCAAACTACTGTGCACAGAAATATGGCGTGAATCAGCGTGTATCGATTCTTACGTCACGTTAAGTTGTACAATAATTTGTGTGTATAAGGAAACCGTGCACATTTGCCCGCATGCCAAAATCTATGTGCATACAGAAACTGTAGCTATATTAAGGATCGCGTGGGAAATTCCCCTCTTGTTGCACCTGAGAAAAATCGAAGTCCTGCGAAACAGTTCAGTTTGCTAGCAACCTTCTACGACGTCAAAGGTTGTGAGTAGAATAGTACATACATGGTGGCTTTAGGAACTCTTCGCAAACCAATTCAACAAAGTTCAATAAATGATATTGAATGTGAAATACCAGTTACGCCATCTGATGAAAATGGCGAACCACTTAGCAATAACCAGTCAACTTTACCTATAAATCCAATTCGACCAAGGTGTAAGATGCGTAGGTTGCAAAAGGGACTACGTAGCGCAATCGACTACTTATGTGACAAGTGTCAAATGGTATATTAATTACAATTAAATTTGTACCAGTTAATCGTATATTATTTTTCTCGTCAGCGGCTACTTCTAGTACTTTCTTTTGTTTATTATTTTAACATTTCTTTACGACTTGAAAGTACTTTGGTTTCTGTAAACTATTATTTTTACCAAGTTTTTCCATGCCTGTAATAGTATATACGTATATAATGTGCTTGCATTATATTTATTTATTTATTTGTCTTTGGAAGTGACGAGCAAATATACGTAAAAAATCTGTACATACATCGATATGTACAACTTGATTGATAAAGTTATTTTATTTGACCAGTTATTTATGCTCAAGTGAAATGAAAGTGAAATATTCACGTTAAGTATTGTATAAAAAAATAAAGAAGTCAAATTGATGATATTACCGAGATAGTGATCAACTGAGAAAAATTATTCAACAGTAAAACAATTGGACTGTTGATATGGAAAATGAATAAAGTGGACAATACTCTCAAGTCGTGAATGATAAACTTTATTTCACATATTGTTTTATCGCACAAAGTGTCATCTAATATGACGTCGATAATATGATGGATTTAAAGTTATGTAAATATTAACCAACAATATTTTGGCAGGAACCAATTACACGTCGGCTAATCATTGGTATCACACTTTTTGCAATTTTGTTATTTTCACTTATATATATACCTCGATCGACCGAAAGTTCATCGCACAATAAGTATTCAGAAGCATCGCACAATTTTTTCATCCATCGCCCTCATTTTCCTGGGCGCCATTTTGGTTAAAATAATACATATTCAGGTAAGATAATTTTTTAATTATACATGCATGAAAAATATCAATACGCAAAATTCAAACTCGAAGATAAAACAATAATGGCGTGTGTTGGGAGGCGTTGAACTTGGGAGCAAAATATATGTTACTTTTTCGAATATTGTTAGACTGTTGAACTATTATATTAGAATAAAAAATGATGTAGATTTTTTTATGAACCACTCTCCAGAATTTACAGAAACCTAATGTTCTGATCTTCTAGATAAAACATTTCAATGTTGTAAAATAAATGAATTAAGCAGCAAAATTATTAACGATTACCTAGCTATGAAAAATATTAATATCTTGCTCAAGTTTTATTTTCTTATCTCGAAAAAAATTTATTTGCTTAAATTAAAAATAAAACGATTGCTAAAATAACGTAGATGAAACAAATATGACTAATAATGAATTTTTATCAGAATGTAAAGTAGTATATAAACTACGCAATAATAATTTTAATTAACAGATTTGCTGTATGTATATACACCATGGGAATCATCTGTAAGTGAAATATAACTAAAAAATTTGGCGAAGAAACTAAATTTTTTAATGCAATAAGAAAATTCACTTGCTTTTTCAGAAAAATAAAAACAAATATAATAAATGACCACATCCTATATGAATAAAGACTGAATTAAAAAAAATTAATAACTATTTTACCCGAACTTTACATTATTTACGATAGTCATTAATAAAGTGGACTTCTGTAATAAATTTACACGTTCGCTAATTTTACAATATATTTTTAAGCTTGTTAGCAAATTTGTTTCTTCGCTATTATGCAGTTTCCTCAGAAAAATTATGTACACATATTTATAATTTTCACTAATGAGACTTTTGGATGAAAGTTTGATTTAAATACATAAGTCATAACCTCGATCGCATGCCTTTCGCCATCTGTCGTGTGCGTCGAAAATGAAATTTCTATTCTTGCAAAAACCTCTCATATGGTAATAATATATGGATGTTATATTCATTTATATTGTATCAATATAATTTTTCACTGCGTAAAATTATAATTTTCAAAAGTCAGTAAATTTTTATAAAATAAAATTTAATATGAAATTTAAGAGCCTGCTACATAAGGTATGATCGGACGTCGGACAACGAACATCGGATTTGTACTGGGGTGAAAAAAATAAATTGATTGTTAGCTATTGATATGTTCTGCAAATATAGGTCAATGTAAAAAATAAAACGAATATATCTATATCGTAGTTTATCATTTTTTAATTAATGTTATTTTTTACTAACCTTAATTATTTTGAATATAATGTATATTCAATATATCTTATTTTAATTTGGTTGTTATTTAAAAAAAGTGTTTGATTCGAAATATTTATTTTTACATTGGTAGTATGTTTAAAATATATATTAATAATTAGTCAATAAATATTCTAAAAGTTAATAAAAATGCTTGTTTCAATAAACTTAATAATTATGAGGTCTAAAGTTGTAAAATTTACTTCCCCTTATACAAGTGCTTGTTTTTACAATCTCAACGGTGTCAAAATCATTTTATAATCACCTACAGTTTGTCTCGTCGAAGGGAAAGTAATTAAGTTTTACAACTTTAGATCCTGTAATTATTACGTTTGTTTAAACAAGAATTTTTATTAAATTTAAAAATATTTATTGACCAGTTTTGAATATGACACGTAGACAAGTCACACATGTTAAAATGTATAATTTTTTCATTAAATAAAGATTTTCAATTAAATACTTTTTTTAATAACAACACAACAACTAAACATAAAAAGATTTTTTCTTAACTTGATTTTTATTCAAAATCATTGTTGATAGTAGAAAAGAAAATGAATTTAAAAATGATGCACAGCGATATAAAGTAGGTCTAATGGTTTTATTTTTTACATCGACCTATGGTTGCAGAGTCCACAAATAGCAAACAACTAATATATATTTTTACTTCGGTACAGGTCCAATGTCCATTGTTCGACGTCCGATCGCACATAATAGAAAGTCCCTTATAAAATGTAACATGATGCTATTACAGATTTATTTTCGAACATATACATACCAATCAATTATTTTTGTTTAATAATATATTAGTAAATAGATTAGTAATTAGTTTAAATTCTAGTATCATAGTGCAATGATAATGAAGGGTGGGATCAAATAACCGAATCAGCGCTCGGGCAAAGCCAGATAGCCTCTGAACCTATGTAATCGGCGCATTGCACGGAAGAAAATTTTCTTATTGAAAAAAGCATTATAAATCTTGTACTCGTGGATAACTGTCAGCAAGAAAGTAATTCATAATGGTTCAAAGTACGTGCCTATCAATCTACATTCAATATTTTCGGAGATTTACGAAGAAATGTGATATGTTATAGTACCGGCAGTCCCTATGCACATCGTGGCAAAACTTCGGTTAATATTTTTTTTAAGAAAACATTGAGATGTTATTCTCTATAGAAAATAATTGTTATTCATATTTTCATAAATATACATTGAAAATTACAGTAATTATTACATGTATCATAATTATTTTCGATAGAGAATAACGTTTCAATATTTAAAAAAAAAATAGTAACCGAAATTTTGCTGCGATATGCATAAGCATCGCCGGTACTATAACCTCATACATTTCCTCGCAAATCTCCGAAAATATTGAATGTAGATTTTCGGAAATTGATAGACACGTACTTTGAACTGTTATGAACAATTTTCTCGCTGACAACTATCCACGAGTACGAGACTTATTAATACTTTTTAATAAGAAAAGTTTGTTCTGTGCTAAGCACCGATTGCATAATTTCAGGGGCTATCTGGCTTGGCCCGAGCGCTGATCTGGTTATTCGATCCGGTCCTTCGATCGTACTAATTATTTAATTATACTAATAACTATATAGAAATAAATACGTTTGAATTATTTGTTTTCACGCTAATTTTAAATGTGTAAACATTTTCGTTTGCGATCTAATTAAGGTTACCTCCATATAGATTTATCGAGTAATGAAATCCTACTAAACAAAAAAAACTTTCTCGTCAATATTCAAATATTTTGAAAAATTAGTGAAGATTTATGGAACCATTTAAATAAAATATGTACTATGTACGAGACACATAAAGGGGTTTTATGAATAGCGGACGTGCAATAACTGCGAAGTGCAAACCCCCTTGGACTCTTACATCATTATGTGAGTACACAGAGGTGAAAGATAAATTTGTAAAATGAAAAAAATTTTAAATGAAATTTTCAAATAATTTTCTTGGTAACGATACTTATGCAAGTTGCAACTCACCTAACATTTCAAATTTCTCGTCTCTTTGCTTACATTCAATTTTTACAATAACAACTTCATTCCATTGAGATTTATCTAATTAATCTATTAATGCATCTAAACAAGTTCGCAAAAACCTTTCGTTGAAGACACGCCTCAACTGTATTTTCATCCAATAATACTTATGCTAAAATACGCTAACCTCCGTGTATTAAACACCATGGCAAATCATGATTAGCGCTATACAACTTCGTTTCAAGAATCTTAAATTAATGAGTTTTTACAAGATTCACGCGTCGTTTGGTATTTCATCTGGAAGTCATCAAGTCTGGTAATTTTTTATAAATTAGCATTTTTATACCTTTTTCACACGTCTCATAATTCCAGGTTTTCGGCATCAAAATGCAGACGTCAATAGAAAATGTTATCAATAATGACTTTATGTTAGCTGGATGACTTCTTCATTTAGTATGTGCATTATTTATTCTTTGCAATCAAATCAGCTTGTTGCTGATATTTAAAATCGAGAGAAACATGGTGCGATCAAATACTCGGAAACACGAATGAAAATTCATTTCATACTAGTTCCAACACTAGAATACATAACCGTGCTTAGAAAGATCTGCAGTTAGTTGAGAGCTGCCAGCAGTGTAGGACAACTCTTTTCTATCAAGGATGTAAAAGAAAATTATAGTTTCTGCAAAAAGTAGTCCTAATTCTGTGTTTTATAAATTAATTTACAATTGATTGCGAAATCTTACTGGGAATGTGCAAAATAGATATCTCGGTCATAGTTCTCTTATTTCGTTAGTTCATTTACAATATTTAACTTAAGAGGATGGAGCCTGATATACCTACAATCGGCGCTGTAAGGTGAGAGGAAACACCACTATTCATTAAAAGGAAGCAACATGACTTATTTTAACAATACCTATTGCATATTGCAAAATAAAGGAACATTTAATAGACACATAATAAGTAACGTGGAAAAATTATAAAAAACTAGGATCCGTGTGGTTTCTTGTCTAACGAGCACAGCACATATTGTATAACGTCTTTGTAGAATCAGAAGGCAACACGCATGAGAATGTTAGCATAACGCACCAAGGAATTTGTAGCTGACTTTGAAATCGAAGATAAATACATAACTACTTATTTATAGTTTAGGAAAAAAGAAAGAAAGCATGAAAATATTATTTTACGTTAATATTTGACCATTTGTCATAGCATGCGATTGAACTTATATAAAAACTTTCAGAAATATTGAAATCCGTGCAGAGAATAGTGAACGTGATAATGTGGAAGAAAAATCGCCGTCTAAAACTAGAAGAGCATTTTCACAATATTGCGCTGCTACGGGATCTAGTTTCCTAAGTATGTCCATGGGAATAAGCATTGGATTCTCCACGATATTGATTCCCGAATTATATAAAGAAAATGCAGAAATAGTGGTGACAATCGGGGAGTTGACGTGGATCGGTGCGTAATAATTAAAATTTTATTCGACTCTCCCGCTGAATGTCAGTTTTATAACTTCGCAAAGCAATTGAATCACTTAAACGAAATTTCATCGACGTTTCATGGCGTTATATAACTTCATTGGTTATGTAAGGTTTTTAAATTCAAGGAGTAAAGCTAATTATTGATTTGAATACGCACGATTGACAGTGAAAAGCATCCTACGAGCACTTCTTTGTTCATTTCAGGTAGTATAAACTACATCGCAGTGACCATCGGGGCGATTTTTAGCGGTTTCATCGCCGAATGGCTGGGTAGACGCACGACGATCATGATCTTGACATTGTCTTACACAGTTGCCTGGACGATACTGTACTATACCAAAGAAATAAAAATGCTCTTCGTTGCATTAACCATGTCAGGCCTGACAGGTGGCTTCGCTGAATCCCCTCTTCAAACTTACGCAGCCGAAATAAGCGAGCCTTCGTTGCGTGGCGGCCTGTCAACTACTGTTTCAATGACATTAACCATCGGCGTTTTTTTGCAGTTTTTGATTGGCAGTTATGTTTACTGGCGCACACTTGTACTCATTAATCTTGTCTTTCCAGCTGTTTGCTTTCTGGCAATGTGCTTTATACCTGAAAGCCCTCATTGGCTAGCTAGTAAGCCTCCTGTTTACTCCTTTTTATTGTTTCGTTATTTCGTCAAATGAAGCTGACTAATGGATGTTTGATTACAGGTAGAAGTCGCTTTAATGAATGTAAGCGCTCATTAATTTGGTTGAGAGGTTGGACTGATTCGACTGACGTGCAACGAGAATATGAATCACTTTTTCAATTGCATCACAAAACAACCATCACTCGCCAACGATCTCGAATTCAAAATATCAAACAAATGGTCAGAGTCTATTTACAAAAAAAAGTCTATTTACCGTTTATGATGGTTTCTTTCACATTTTTTGTCAGTTGCTTTAACGGATCAGCACCTATATTGACCTATGCAGTTTTGCTGTTTCAAAAATTGGATTCACCTGTAAATGAGTACACAGCCACCATGATATTAGGACTATTAAAAGTCATTGGTGGAATAATTACCATCGTTCTCATTCATTACACAGGCAAACGAAAACTTACATTTTATTCCTTAATTGGCGCTGGTTTAGCTCTTGGCATTGTCACAATTTATTGTTTTCTTCAAAATTACCATGACATTGATGTAAAACAGTATTCTTGGATTCCTACAGTTATGATTCTAGTTTCAGTCTTTTCATGCACGGTTGGAATTAAAAATATACCGTGGATTATGTCCGGTGAGGTTTTTCCACAGAACATACGTAGTATCGCTAATGGTTTAGTTAGTTCTACTTTCAATATTTATTCGGCTATGATCAACAAAGTATTCCTCTATATGGTTCAAAGCATGACTTTGGCAGGCACTTTTTTATTTTTTACATTAATTAATTTTTTTGGTTTGATAGTCCTGTACTTTATACTTCCCGAGACTGAAGGGAGAACTCTTCAAGAAATCGAACAACACTACGCGGGAGTTAGAAATTTGAAAGATCGTCCAATAATAATTCGAAATGGTACAAGTAAATCAGATTCTTATTCAACCGTACCATGTTCAATCAATTCTTAAATCATTATCGTTATAAGTCAGACGATATGATAATACATTTCATAATTTTATTTTCATTGTATAACCAAATATAAATAAATATCAAGATAGAATATTATTACGTACCAAAAATTGCGAAAGTCATGTAATTTTATTTATTGTAATTATTTGACTATACAGTAACGGTCAAAATTTTAGGGCACACTCAGTAGGTGGGCTTCACTAAAAAGATTTTATGCATATTTTAGTTTAAAAAGTTATGTTTTGTAAAATAATGAAAATCTATCTATTTCATTAGTTTAGACACAATAAAAATTTTCTATCAACATGTCACGACGTCATTTTTTCTATATTTCGTTTAAGCTTTTAAGTTCATCTGTTAAATTTTAAGTGATGATGCAAAAAGATGTTCAAGTCACATATAAATGTAAAATTTTTAACATTATTTATATTAACTGATTTTTAGTACATGAGGTTATTTTTTTTTATATGCGTTTGTTTTTGCCCAATGCAGCACATAGAAATTGAATGACAATACATTTGTTTCATTCGGAACTGATTTATTTTGAAAATAAAAATAGTTTAGAATAAAATGAATCCATAGGATTTTAATCTTTTTGATTTCAATTAGTTTAGATAAATCTGATATTTTTCATTCTGTAGATATCTAATTATTTTTTCTTGACTTCTGATTTGGAATTGTTTGTCAGAAAAAGTAATCTAGATGAACTACATTTCGCGAGAGTGAGAAATTTAGAAACTCGAAAAAACTTCCAAATGAATAAACGACAATATACTCGTAATTCTTATTAAAATGGTCGACCTGTTCACCGAACCTTAATATAATTGAGAATGCTTAAGATCAAATTGAGAGAGTGATTTTAAATAATACCTTGTGTTGAAAACGTACAGTGCCGGTCAGTCACTTTTACCCCCCCACGGGCAAAATCAGTCTAACTTCAAAGTTTTATATCTCTGGTAGAAATTAACGTACAGAGACGCGCGTGGGTGCGTTTGAAAGGTCTTTCGAAAAGCTTTCAAATGATATGACTCACGAATGCCATCGATTGTTTTTTTAAATTTTGCAACAATTATGCAAAATTGAAAATTCTGAAATTTTTTTATTATTTTTGACAATTAGCCAATTTTGGAAAAAAAATTGTACGAAAATTTGAAGTACACCATTTTTTAGCTATTACCAAGCCCTATCTGAATCACTCATCAAAAATTTATTTTCGTCAAATATGACGCGCGCACGGGCATTTTTTCCTGGAAGTGACAGTTTTTTTCAACATTTTTTATCTCCGTCAAATTGTAACAATCGAAAAAAATTTATAGGAGAAAAAATGTTTGTTTTTTCACGTAGAATACTGCAATAATTTTTTTTTTCGGTTTAAATTATTTTTCAAGGTCGAAAAAAAAAAAGATTTTTTTTTTTATGTAATTTACGATACTTGTTATGTAGTATTATTGAATGGGTGGAAAAAAATTTTTTTTTGTGGTTTCTCATCTTTTTAGAGTACCGACTGTGAGAAAAAAAAATTGAAAAAAACCGAAAAAAAAAATTTTTCGAAAAACCGAAGAAAAAATTATTGCAGTATTCTACGTGAAAAAACAAACATTTTTTCTCCTATAAATTTTTTTCGATTGTTACAATTTGACGGAGATAAAAAATGTTGAAAAAAACTGTCACTTCCAGGAAAAAATGCCCGTGCGCGCGTCATATTTGACGAAAATAAATTTTTGATGAGTGATTCAGATAGGGCTTGGTAATAGCTGAAAAATGGTGTACTTCAAATTTTCGTACGATTTTTTTTCCAAAATTGGCTAATTGTCAAAAATAATAAAAAAATTTCAGAATTTTCAATTTTGCATAATTGTTGCAAAATTTAAAAAAACAATCGATGGCATTCGTGAGTCATATCATTTGAAAGCTTTCCGAAAGACCTTTCAAACGCACCCACGCGCGTCTCTGTACGTTAATTTCTACCAGAGATATAAAACTTTGAAGTTAGACTGATTTTGCCCGTGGGGGGGTAAAAGTGGCTGACCGGCACTGTACATGCAGAGGAAGAGAGATCCTGCATTGATGGACGCGTGGACACTTCGTAACGGGAATTCGGGATTTTCTTCAATTAAGGTAGCGACAGTCTTTGACGCACTCCGCCAACTCTATCATAAACGAGGACTCATTTTTAATGGGAGAGGCCGTTCTAGCACACGTGTTTAGACGTTATCAATTGTTCGGCCCTCCAGATATCCTGAACTTGTAAATGTACGTGATTTCGGATTTTTTTGTTTTTAGATTTGAGTGTGAATAGCTGTAAAATAAAACTTGTATTCATTTTTTATCAAGATATCTTAGCTGTAAATAAATAAACGAAAATTTCATCGCCGTAATGTCAAAATTGAGATAATTCCGAGAGGTGGTCTCCGGGAACTATTAGACCTCACGGGAAGTCAAATTAATACGAAAAGAGACAGTTACGTATGTAACTGAACCTAGAGTCGGAAAGCTGGTGAGTGATGAGAGCGGGAGAAAGAAATAGAGTAAAGTTGGAAGAGAAACGTTAAGGGGACGTACGCGTCATTCAGACCCTATAACCGGCGGTAACGGATAGGAAAATTTGGCAGTGGCCGAGCGAAAAATGGACATTGCCTTGTACGTCACGCTCGGACGCGTGCGTACGATACGAATTTTCATTAGATACAGTTTTACGGCCTTGTATAGGAACGTCGTTCGTGTGCGCCGAATAATAAATAAAGTGCAATTCAAATTTCAAATCCACATACTTAATTTCCTCCCGATCTCACCCTTTACACCTGGAGAAACCATGATGATTAAAAAACAACCATCGCTGTTGCTTGACAAACTCTGAGTAACAATTATTGTCTAGCTTACAGAATTAATGATGCCAATTTGCTAAAGCTAAAAATTGTTTTAATCTTTTTGATTTCAATTAAATTGTTTAAAGGCTTGCTATCAAGCTAAAGGAGCAGCCACTAGATATTGAAGGATTTGGATAAATATTTTCTTATTATGATTGAATAAATTAGCAAACAAATTAAATTTTATTATTCTTTTTTTGATTGAGTTGAAATATTATAAAAAGATTAGTACAATTCAGTAGTTTAATTTTATTCTTAAATATTTTTATTTTCAAAACTAATTAGTTCCAAATAAATACAAATATGTTGTCATAAAATTCCTGTATGTTGAATTGAAAAAAAAAAAAAAAAAAAAAAAACGAGCGTATATGAATGCAGAAATCTCGAATACTAAAAATCAGTGATATGAAATGCTAAAAAGTATATATTTGACAGCTCAACTTAAAAGCCTAAAGTATATGTAGAAAAAAAACTACGTATTAAGTAATAACTAATATATTTTTAGTTGTAGAAAATTTTTAGTGTCTCTTAAATAGTGAAATGGATAATTTTTCATTATTTTACAAATTCTAACTTTTCAAACTAAAATGTACATAAAATCTTTTTAGTGAATCACATCTATATAGTGTCAATTATGCTTATTCGATTAATTTTGAGTGAAAAAAAACATTGAGGAGATTACTAGAAAATTCAAAACTCCAAAGTCGTGTAAAGCTTAAAATTCGAAAATGAGATAAGGAAAAATTAGGAGTGTCTAAAAATTTTGACTTCTATTGTATAAAATAATAAAATCATTCATGAAAATCAAACTATAAAGTAAACTATTTTAATATTACGAATTAGTTCGATTATTAGGCTTTTGAGTTTATCAATAATCAAATTATTTATTGTTACTAATAAAAAACAGAATATTTTATTTGATGGAGCACTGCATTGGCAACGTTTATGATGATTATGTCAATCAAGGACATCACGTTCTTTCAAAATATGTCAATGTCATAACGATTTTATTTTAAATATGTGTTTACGCCAGTGCGCAACATGTTTGGCAAAAACAATTTCAAAAGTCAATTGAAAATAATTTTATTAATATTTATTAGTCCAGTTGAAAGGTAAAAATATAATATGAAAAAATATGGAAAATTTGTCGCGTCTTACCTCCAATGGTTTGCCTAAACAAAACGTAGATGGTCCTTGAAAAAATTAATATTGTTAAGTGTTATAACCTAGATTACGACTTATCGCTTTTGAAGGATCTATGTAATGGTTTCTATATAAAAAATAAAGATATTAATGATGATTGTGAGTTGTCACCGGTGTTCACGTTTACGTTAAAAACAAATTTTATCTGTTTATAAGATCTGTTCACTCTGCCAATAATATCCCTACAAGCACTGAAACTTGCAACCTGTACTGCAGGACCGAGGAAAACCTCGTGAAACCCAACGTCCCAAGGCAGCTTTACGAGCAGGCTTCTAACGTTGTCCACGGCCGCATCACGCCTTGCCGCATAGAAGTGCTGTAACACCACAGGTCCGCTATGACCATCTCCACCTAGATCTCGTCAAATCGCTGCTTCACGGCGGGCTGCAATATTGCACCACCATTGTAGACTGCTTCTTCAAATGGCCAGCTGCTATTCCTATTTCAGACTAGCAACCGGTGACCATTGTGTACGCATTTTGCGACCAAAGGATTTTCCTCTTTGACACGCCGCTGACGATTACGACCAACTAAAGCCCGCAATTCGAGACATCACTCGTTATCGCAATATCCAATCTTTTCGGTGCAAGTCGCGTCCAGACCACTCCAAATCATCTCCAGGCGAACGGGATGGCGAACGGTTTTTAGCCCCACGCACTTCCTATGGTCTTACTTGGCATTCGAACCAACATAAAAAAGACTTGCAGTCTTTTTCAGAAAAAAAGTTTTTCGGGAAAACGCTCCGGATACCAGGCGATTTTTTTTATTTGAAACAGTCATCCGAATGCAATAAACGTTTCCATCTTTATTGCGGAGCTCAAAACCCTTGAGTCCAAATTATGAGCTGCACCCGATGCTCGTCACACCGTACCAGTCAAACTCTTGGTCCGTGCTCGTACGTCTTCCGGATAGTGGACACCGTCAAGAAGCCCTTGCCATACGCGAAGCCACGCAAAGTTCTTAGGCCGTTCAACGACCTCATCTATGAAGTTGACATTAACGGCACTCTCAAGGTCATCTCTGTCTTCGCCCTCAAGCTCGCATATGTTGAAAGTGCAGGACACCATGCAGCTCGTTCCAAGGACATCGTTGGAACCGCATCGGTCTTGCAGCAAGTAGCCTCTGCTTTTCCGGCCCAGCAATCCTCTTCACCTTCACGGAAAAGTCAGCCAACCGATCACCACCATCGCTCAGTTTAGTTCCCCTCCAACCGGCTCTCGTCATTGATGGGAGCCTGGCCTTGAAAGCTGGTGCTCGTGTCCCGCTTCAGCTTCTAGCCGATGCAACAGCGTAATCACGATGCGTGGCGCGCCGGAACTAGTCCATTTCCAACTTCTGGACTAGTTTCAGCCTCGGGAACCTCGTTGGTCTCTGTCGGTCAGGTCTCAGCTTGTAAAGACTCGCAGGGGGCACATATATAAATAGCTGCGGCCGCCAAATCCTCTCCTTGCCTTTTTCTTCCTGATGTCTACAGTTTGACGCGAGCCCAATCAAGGAGTTAGTGTATAGCTCGCTCACACGGGAATCATTCCCGCCATCTACCTCAGCTATAAAGACCATTTTTAGCATGACGTCACAGTCTAACAGCTGCAAAGAGTGGTGGTTTGCATTGTATCTTGTGGAAGCCGATACAATCAAATTTGTTAAAAAATAATTTCGATATTAGTTTCAATAATTTTCCGATAAATAAAATGTTTACTTATTATAAAACTATAAAAAAATAAATAATAATAGGTTCGATGCAATAATCAATAAGAGGATAGATGAAGGCTAAATACACAATCAACTACTAACGTAAGGAATACAGAGATCTGACTCAATAAAGATGACAGAAATTATTCAACCTAGTCTATAAAAGGTTATCACAAATGCAAGATATAATGTAACATAATGGCAAAATATAAAATAACTTTTGATAGATTACAGTTGATTTATTATTTAGCATTCTTCAGTAATAAAATCTAAAAAAATTCGAAATAAAATCTAAAAAAATCTACAGTATTTTACATAGAAAAATTAACATTTTCTTTTCTGTTTTTTTTTCTATTATTGATATATACGGAGATACGCAAAACTGAAGGAAAGTGTCAACTTTCGGAAAAAATGCTTGTGCGCGTATCATATTTAATGAAAGCTAATAAATATTTAATGAGTGATTTAGGTAGGGGTTGTAAAAAGCTACCAAATGCTGTACTTCAAATTTCCGTGCTATTTTTTTCAAGAATTGGCAAAAGATCAAAGATGAACAAACATTTTTAGAATTTTCAATATAGAATTATTTTTCAAAAATTATGTTTTCAAAAAATAATTGGAAAATGTTTGATTGCATTCGTGACCCATACTGCTTAAAAGCTCTTAAAAAAAGTTCAATTATTAACTCAACACAATTTCAATTATCAATTGCTTGTGCGTGACGAAGCCGTAACGTCATCTCGCATTAGTGAAAAATAACTATATATATATATATATAAAATACATATAAACGAAGTGCGAAAAATAGTCAGCTTTGAAATGACTTCCAAGAAATTTAGACAAATTTAGTGACAATTTAGTTTTACGTTAAAAAAGATGTATTCTAATAAAGTGTGTAATGAATTAGTTCTTTAAATATCATAGCAGGGTACAAAAGTAAGTGTAGTTGAGTGGAAAAATAAAAAAATACTCTTGTGAATTAATTATCATGGATTATTGCATAAATTTACCAATTAAATATTTTATTTTAATCAGTGTACTGGATGATGAACTGATTGTTTCAAACTGAATTCGATTTTGTGTTTTAACAAATAAAATACCAATCAAAACATCTATAACCTATATACAAAGTATACCAAAGTATATTCACAAATAAAAAATTTAGTTCAAAAAATAAATGTGATGGTCTGAAAAAAAAAACATTTGGAGTCGTGCTTTTATTCCGGTAGTTTGTTAGTGTCTGTGTACATTTCTGTGAACAAATTGGTTATTTGTTACCATTTAATGATTAATAATTGTCATTCATTGAAGCACTAGTAATTTCAAACTTTCCTATTGCGTTATTCGTTATAAAGTTAATTTTAGAAATGTAATTCAACATTAATATAACCTGTACGTCTGTACATTTATTTTCAATATTACATTGATAACATTCTGTCAACTTCTTTAAACTTATTTATTTAAAAATAATAAACCAAAATAATAATTATTTTATTACGACAGTGCTTAAGTAAATAACTAAATTCTACCACGTTGTTTTAAATTTATAATTATATTCAATAAAGATTTGTTGCCTCATAAAACTGATAACATTCGTAACAATTGATTCGTGACAGCTTCGTACAATTAAATGAGCAATAAAAGTCAAAGCGAGAGTTAACGCGGGCGTAATGCACACCTGTCATATAGGTTGTCTGTAACAAGAAATACACGTTCAATAATACTCTTTTGCATTGTTTTTAGTACATTCATGATATGCAAAATTTTTTAGTCATTCATAATTTTACATTAATTTTTCACACATACAATTAAATATCTATACAGAGGTAGCCTTGAATTTAACTATTTTTATAATTTATGACAACGTTGGATGCTGTGGTATTTTATCTTTATAGTATTTTAATTCTTGATTGTAAAAGATATCCAATTTTTTTTGTTTATCAGATAGATATTATAGCACCTCTAATATAAAAAATATTTAGGAATTATATATATTATAGATTTTTATATTTTTCAAGTTATTTTTTGTGAAATTTCCAATGAAAAGTATCTACAATATTTTATTAGATATACAACATCTTATTTACTGTAAAAAAACGAAACGATATCAGTCGGTAAAATATAAAAAAACAGGAACCGAATGAACTTTTCAGAATTTCGTACGGATATACACTTTCGAAAGCAATTATTCAATGTATTTGATAATCATGATAAGATTTGGTATGGAATAATGAATGAGATTTTTTTAACAACTTGTTAAAAGTTTTTTCAACACGTAAGTTTTCGTTCGCTAAGGTATTCTGTAATATTTGACTGTTGAAAGAACGAAGAATGGAGCTCAGAAATTTCATTATTCAATATAAGTTACGGAAATCATTTTTTGATAAAAACGTGTGTGTAAGAAAAATAAAAGACAAATGCAATCGATCGGCATTAGCGAGGAAAATTCCATTGCGTTTTCTCTATAGCAAATAAATATAGTCTATAGCAATATAACTATAGTCTCTACAGTAATATAATCTTTATAGCGATCACGATGTCATAATTTACTATCGTTAAAAAAAAGATGGGTACCTCATTTTCAAAGCGTATCTCTTTGCGAAAAAAATCGCATAAAAAATGGATCTTGCATAGTGTTGGAGCTTAATCTACTGCTCATCGATTGATTCATCAGCATTTCATCAAGACCAATTAAAAAAGTTATGACGACAATCGGAAAGAAAAAAAAAACGGTTTTTCGCGTTATTCAAACACAGACGACTTCGCACAGCTGTTATTTAGTCAACAAAATGTGAACTATCGGGGGAAAAATGCAGCTTATAGTTCAAAGTTTTCCTGAAGCTACTGCGGTGGAATTAAAAAAATCAATTAGGTTTCTTGTAAACGAAAATTTCTGAAAAATAATTTACTTATCAATGGCCTGCTCGAATACTTTCGGATTTGATGCAAAAATTTGAAAAGCTTTTAAGCTTAAACATTTTCCATAAACTGTTGAACGCGTTACTTTCATGTTTAAATGCCAGGGTTTTAAAGTTGAGCATTGTGTTCGCAGTGCATCTTTTTCCAAAAGTACTATTTTGCCATTATTATTTTATTAAAATCATACGACTAAAATAAAATAAATGCAGCTTTGTTTTAACGAAACACTCGATTTGGAGACTTTGGCATTAAAAATTTATTAAAAAGCTCAAAAGCTTTTCAATGTTTTGCATTAAATTCAAAGGTAATCGGAGGACAAGCCATTGTCGAGACAATTTTTTAGCATAGCTGTAAACTTTAGGCAAATTTCTGAACCAAACACAAACACACCTAAAAGTATTACATCATCAAAAAGAGTAAGCCACCTAGCGCAGACGCGCGACATTTGCGAAGCGCACATGGCGCGTGGCGGGCACATCTCATAAGTACAACACACATACGTGACAGCATTGTTCATCCATGTACGATCTTATTTACGCGTGCGTATTTAATCCGCTCTTACAGGCGGAATAGAAAAAGAAAGAGAGTTAGAGAGAGACAGACCGATAAAGAGAGAGAGTGGGAGGGAGAGAGATTGGGAGGGAGAAAGAGAGCTGACGCAAGGTTACATCAGCTGCCGTGCGCGTGGGACAGCCGAGATCGCAGCCTCGCTCAAGTATTACGGTTTCTCCGTCCGCGCTAGAAGCAGCTCCGCGAGACAACTGCAGCCTAGCTGCTACTTGACGACCCAGCCACGACGGCTTCCATTTCGTGACAACAGTATTACACACTTAGGATTTAGACTTAACTAGTACAATTATGAAAAGGTACTTGTAAACTTTTTTTTTTTTGCATTATTTTAGTTTTTACGCCTTTTCGGAGAACAACGCGATATTAGTCTTACGCGCTCGCGCTCGCGACTACATTTATAGATATCTCTGTATATATATCTGTCCGCGATTTATGTTATACTTCAATTCTCATTGTTATTTCTGCGACATTGACCTTGATTTGTTAAGTCGATGTTAGGTTTGTTTAGTTCGTACTATTAGCACGGCTTTCTTCAATTATAGATAAGGGAATTAATCCGTGTTCTCATCCATATGTGATTTAGCAATCAGTTAGTAGCTGTTGCAAAATATTATCGCTGACTATTTGACAAAGTGATAATAAAAAAACAAAGAAGCAATTGCTTTCTTCGTTTATCTAAACAACGTCTGAAAGGTGACACCGATTTCACTTTTTTGTAGAAAAGCTATCTAGACGGTACTTAATCTGATGAAATTTTTCGAGTAATTGATTGTTTTTCGCGATAAGCATTGTTCATATACTTTTTTTACCACCAGTAGTAATCTCCTCATAAATTACGTTTATTCTAAAAAAATATTGCCAATAACGTTCTCAAACTGTAAATATTTTTGCTACATCAAAATTTCTTAGTACTTATACTACTGGTTGCTAAACAATTTAAAGCAAACAAGTGTATTGCATGACATACTCTAATTTCCATATGAGTTTTCTTATTTGTTTGTACTGTAATTTAATACTTTCCTCGTCACTTGTCTTTCAATATCGACAGCATTACTTAACTTTCTTATACTAGTTATAAAATACATCATGATATTTTTCCATTCGATGCAGAATGCACAAATCCTAGTCCAAAAGAAATACTTCGAACATATCTGTACGAAATGAATTTATTACTAATATTTTTTTATATTTACAGTAAACAAGAAAGAGAAATGTGGGTGTTTGGATATGGATCTTTAATTTGGAAAGCTGACTTTCCTTATGAACAGAAAGTTGTTGGACACATTAAAGGATACATAAGAAGATTTTATCAAAAGAGTACTTATCACAGAGGTGTACCTAGTCATGTAAGTGAATTGATACAAAATTAGTAAATAATATTTTTTTTAAATATAACATTACTATAAATTTAAATTACATTGAATAATTTTAATATATATTTTATTTTATAGCCTGGGCGAGTTGTCACTCTTCTCCCCTCAAATAATGCTGATGATGAAGTATGGGGCTGTGCATATAAGATAGCTGGTGAAAATGTTGAAAGTGTAACGCAGCATTTAGATTTGCGAGAAAGAGGAGGCTATGAGCGGGTTGATGTACTGTTCCATCCACTTAGACATTCTCAAATGCAAAAACAATCATTTCACTTATTTATATATATTGGCCATGAAGATAATCCCAATTTTGCTGGATATGAAGATATTGATACTATAGCTGGACACATAGCTGAATGCGCTGGCGCAAGTGGACATAATACTGAATATTTATATAATTTAGCAACAGCAATGCGAAGTATTGCTCCAAAAGTACATGATGACCATTTGTTTGACTTAGAAAATGCTGTTAAACGAATAGAGTTGCTAAAGAAAAAGAAAAATTTAGAATTTGATCGACATAATCATAATATAGTCGTAAATTAAAGAGGTTTATTAAATTAGTTTTTTTCCATGAAATTAAGCTAATTAATTTTTAATGTATAAATTTATTAACTCACATATTTATGACTGAACAGGAATTTAGAATTAGCATTTGCCATAACCATCCTTAATTACTTTAATTTGATTATTATGTATTTTATAAATATTTTTATCTATTTCATAAGGACAAACTTTTAACTTTAGTAGAGATAGAAAGCTCATAATGTTATGAGAGAATTAAATTTTTCACATTTCTATAGCAGTGAGAACACAAAGAATTAGAAAGTTAATTGATTTTACTTAGTAACATTTTGACTTCTGTTATTGACCATTAGTGTTGAAAAATAAAAAAAATAGTATTTGAATTATGAATACAATTTTATCAATGATTAATTTATAAGTTGTGAAAATAAGCTTTGACTTATTGCTTAAGTATGTTTATAACTATCCAATAATAAGTCAATCAACTATTCCATATTTGTACTGTTATGAACGTTAGACAAATTGGACCAGATGATATTTAATGACGCCATAGATTGTAAATAGAAATACATTTTGAAGTAAATGATATAAAGAAGTGACATAGTTTTTACTGCAGTCAGTTGGATTGTTTTTAAAAAATAATTTTATCACTGTAAATAACATATTTACATAAAATATTGAAGTAATGTTTGTGATATGGAAATTGTGATATTTGGATTCATTTTGAGTAAAAAACTAAATTAATATATTAAATATCTTTTATATCAACTTATATTTTAAATTTTATTGAAGAAAACTAATCTAAATTAAAACTAGTCAACTGGTTTTTGTTATTAATAGCCAGTACTTATTACTATCTGCAAAAAAAATTCAACATGTAAATTATTAAATGAAAGCTTTTACTTCAAATTCGCCTATATGACTGAAACTTAATTTGATATTTATTTAAACAATGGTATATGGTTTTTTGAAGTTTTCTAATAACAAAGCAATACAATTTGAGTAGTTGCAGTCAAAGATAAAACATTTTTTAAGTGATAATGTTCGTTAAGAAAATAAGATAGACAATTCTGTAGAAACGACCGACGTCAATAGAACGTGCTGTTGCGTGAGAGCACGACCAGTAATCAGCTGAGAGCAATAACACGCGATATGCTGATCAACTGTATATATATATTAAATATATAAATATGTCGTGTATACCAACCAACAGTATGTTTATCCACATCCCTAAAGTAAATAAATATATGTCTATACTTCAAGCGCATTTCTTGAAATGCATATATATACTCTGAACTACTTTTGACGATTATACATCGATGAGGTGTCATCGTTATAATAATTATAACGATTATACATCGTTCGGTGACGAGATTAGGTCAAGTACATATTTTGGCAATTTGTGCCTCCGTATTTGCTAGAGAAAAACTATTTGATGCTATCGATGCTTTATCATTGAAAATAATGTTGATTTTGAACTTCGCGGATAACTAATTTTAAGATATAACATATATTTAGACTTGTGAAGCTGACGCCCAAAAAATTTTTTTAAACATATTTTTGAGTTTTCATGAGTTAAAACGTTTTCTCCCTTTTTCCGGATTAAGTCTACGCTTAAAATTTTATTTCCGGATTTTCCGTTTTTAAGAAAATTGCTAAAAAAAATCAGGCGTTCGGACAACGCGCAATATGCATTGAACATTTTTCTCCTGTTTAAAAAGAAATAATTTCAATAGCGGATGATAGCTCCTTATTCCCGGATTACAAAACAATTTTCCTTTTGTCGATTTTCTATCCAAAATTGAGGAAAATGTAAAGATTAGTAATATGCGGCAGTTAGTCGATAAAACAGGTCAAATATTTGCTAATCACCAGATATCATGAGTTCTACAGTGCGTAACTTAAGACTGTAAATTTATTATTATTTAAATTTATGTAATGTAATTTCAATGCATGTTGCGCGCTGTCCGAACGCCCGATTTTTATTCGCAATTTTCTTAAAAACGGAAAATCGGGAAATAAAATTTCAAGCGGAGACTTAATCCGGAAAAAGGGAGAAAACGTTTTAACTCATGAAAACAAAAATATGTTTAAAAAAATTTTTTGGGTGTCAGCTTCACAAGTTTTCTGCGCATGTGGTGGTACAAAATCATGATTCTGGCGCGAATGTATTTGAAAATCATGATTATGACGTAAGAATTTTTTATTGTTATAAAAAGAAAACTAAGAGATTATTATTTTAATTTAATTTATACCATCCAAAAATAAGTTTACTATTTTTAGATGGTACATATTAAATCTAAACTAATTTACTGTCATTTTTTATGAAAATCAATTATTTTCATACCAGGGTCTACCCGATTTCAGATCAAAGAAAATTATTACATATATTTTATGTAGAACTTGTTTTCTTCAATAAATTTTATATTTTATCATTTCATAAGGCTTTGGAGTAATCTATTTGAGTTGAATTTTAAGTGTTATAAAATATTAGTTTATTATAATGAAAAATATTACAGAGAAGTAAAAATAAGTATTGTTCGATAATTATGGTATATTTTTGTTTTTCCTTGTATACACATCCCACTTTCTAAAATAATAGTTAATATTTCGAAACAATCTTTTTTACCATAAGTTGTTGTTGTAATCATCAATCATCAATTAAAAAAAACTCACCATTTCTGGGATCATGGTCCGGTCTTCAACAAGGAGGACGTTTTGTATTCAACCTGAATATTTTTTATAAATGTTCACAAATATCTTTGGAATGATTTAACTAATTGCAATGGGAGATGGGTTCATTTAAAAGGGTCTACTTCCGAGATTACTTCATTTCGTTTGGACTCGATTGAAGTATAACTTCGCGAGTAATAGAAAAAAATGAATTTAAAAACGGTTCTTTTAAGTTAATATTGATTTTAATAAATCTTCTTTGCATTGAAAATATTACACATACGAAAAAAGTGTGTCAGACGTGAAACTAATATTTTATATATATTATTTATACTTGATATTAACTAATATTTTAATACTAATCAACGCGTCTTGATTAGTATTATATAACTTTTGTCGTGTTGTATCGCTTCATCAGATTTCATTAACATTTTTCGCGGTATATTATCTACAAAGTATAAAGAATTTAGTTATATAAAATTTACTTGTGTATTAAGATGATAAATATTAAATCATGTTATCCGATACCACTATATTAGAATTTAAAATAATCAAAATATTCTATAACGAAAAAAAATTAATAAATTCATCGATGGTTTTAGGAATAAAAAATATAGAAACATTTATTAGATATAAAATGTTTGTGTAACTTGAACATTTATTTTTAGAAATTTAGACCTTTTTGTTTCTGAAAATAATAAGTAAGCTGTAATATAATTCACGATATTTAATATAAATTATATGAGATGAAAAAATGTTGGTATTTAATGTTCATATCAGTTATATTTTGTTTTTACGTAAGTAGGTATTTTGGAGGTCAATTACGAGAGGAAAAGAATGACGTCATGAATTGTAATAACAAAAGTAATTTTTACTTTCATAAACAATTTTAGGATATTTATATATACATTTAATAGTATATATCAATTTTATATCAATTTTTCTGTATATGGTTTAACATTTTTACAATTGAACCTGCTTCCTTACTACGATAACAATATATATATATATATATATAATATACGCATTTACTCTTCAAATTAAAAAAAAAAAACATACAAATATCCATCTCACGGTTTTATTAAACGTATAGATTCTTCTTAAAATATTTTTATAAATTGATGTATTAACGAATATAAAATTTACGAATTTATTATATTTTTATATCATAGACTCATACATTATTTTGAAAGTCAGGAAGGCTAATTTGGTAAATTTGTATAAAAATATACAATCATTATTTTACATCTTTGTCTCTATCTAGCAACAACCATCACTCAAAGCTATAGGTAACAAAATAATTATCCTCTAAGTTTCAAAATAAAATCAAAGTGAATGCACTTAAACTTGAATTGTAAGTTTAATCTCTTAATATTGTTTGCATAACCCATTTCCTTATTAAAACCAATCATTTACAATATAATTTGACAAAAATTGATGTGAAATAGGTGAGTCCCTCTTAAATTAAATCAAATTCTCTTTCTAAATTATAAATGCTCTATACAAATACTGTATTTGCCTGGTGAGGCCGTAAACATGGGCTGTGAAACGTTGTGCAATTTACAAAGAGGATTTGATTTAATTTGAGAGGGACTCACCCATTCCACAACGATTTTTGATGAATTATTGTATAATGAAAGATGCTAAGATGCTAATGATAATATAATCACTTACAAAATAGTTACCATTGATGTAATACATACAGTAATATATTTATAAGGCTATATTAAAATGGTACTGAGATTCATTTCATAAACCCTTTCTAAAGGCAGTGTTACATACGGTCTCAGTTATTGTTTCATCAGTATTGATGAAACATTAATCGTTTTGTTGAGAGTGCAGAATAGATATAAAAAATACTAAGCTCAAAGTCTAAGACCATAGGATTTGTTTGCAAATCTGTTTGAAAGCTATTCTTCATTCCTTTAATAAATTATTTTAAGAACTTATTGCATCTTACAGACTTTCCATTTGCATTTTGAAATGCTAGTAGCAAATGTCATATATTATTCTGCTAAGTTTCTTCAGTAGAATAATTGTTATTTGCACCACACTTTGGACAAGTTTGAGACTCACTGAAATTCAATGACAAAAAATAACTTGAAGAGTTTTTTAAGATTATAAAATATATTTTTACCTCATTAAATGAAGTTTTTTTCTCATTTCATTACAGAGATTGGATTCTGTTGCAAGAGCAGTTTCTCTTTCTCTTAATTGTTGTCTCAGGTGATAAATTGTGTCTTCTAAGGCTTCAAAAATTGCCTAAAAAACAGAACAACGTTAAAGAATACTATAAAAATATATTTTTAATTGAATGGAACAAATGTTTCTCTTACTCTAGATTCTTCCACGGTATCAGATAAGGCAGGAGGTTCATCAAGACAAAAGAATTCTCTGACACAATTTAGGTTAACTAAATCTGAACTATTTAACAGCCCATTAACAAAGGCTTGAAGTCCCCTTATTCTTTCCTCAAGAAAGCTTGGAGCAAAGTTATCTCCTAACCACTTTTTTCTAGGTAATGATAGATGGGAAATAGAAGCTTTTTGTCTTTTAAGTTGAGTATACAAGCGAACAAAATCTGTATATCTACGAAAAACAAACCAGCAGTCTCCATTTTTCAATTCTACTCTCAACTTATATACCTGTAAAAATGTATTTCATGTTACATTCATTTTAATGATTATTTTGAATATTCATATTATTTGAAAATTCTCACTGTGAATCTAGCTCTTTCTTCCATAACTTCATATCCTACAATAGGTATCCTTAAATCACTTTCACAAGGTATAACTTGAAATTCAGAGTTTCCATTTTGACTTTCTTCATCTGTATAATCATATCGCTGAACTGTGTATGAATTAGAGTTTTCAGAATACGTAGAATCAGGACTATCCAAGTCACGAGCATTATTTGACTGTTGAGGTCCTTTTGCTTTACTGATAGCCAAAGTAACTTCACTGACACATCCAATACTTGCTTCAGAGCTTGACATTTTACTACAAAAATAAATGTTCATACCTATAGGAAATCTTGCAAGTGCATAATATAAACTTGACCCAATCTTGTACATTTTAATAGTGAATTATAATAATCTTATTAGAAAATAAGAAGATAAGTTTATAAAGAGATTGAGCTTTGGTTTATTAAATTTTAGAATTTTTCACATGCTACCGTGAGTGAAAACACATAAATAATGTTTTTCAACTAAATTTATAAACAATATTAAAATACAAATGCAAATTCGATACTAACCTTGATAAAACTGCTTTACGAATAGATCAACGAAATTTTAAAAATTTTCGTATTAATCAATCATTCAAAATTTATAGCATGTTTATTTCGAACATAAGATAACATTTTAAAACAATAAAATAAAGAGGAAACAATAATAATAGCAGCTGGCATTTAACGTTTCGTTTAACCTCAAATGATGAAAAAACACGAATTTTTTTTACGGTTTTCTGAAATGTTGATAATACAGGGTGCTTTATTACCATTGCTTGCACAAAAAAGATTTTAAATAAGGTTAGGATGCCTATGGATACGTTTGGGGTATTTGTGAATATTTATTTTGAAGGACAAGAGTGATTTTTCTGATTTCTTTTATTGTCTATATTTTTTATTTTACTGCATGCAACAAATGCAAAGAAGAAAACTTCTAAAATATATATAAAATTAATTACCGACAAACCAATTTTTTAAAAAGACTTGTTATCTGTGGCAATATGTAATTTAAATATTTTTAAAGAAATATTTAATTTTTACAATATTGTGCAGATATTAATTTGTTTCACGTGAGTGATATAGAGCAAAAATGAATCGAGAATTTTCAAGTCTTGATGGACCCATCAAGAAAAGTCACAGAGAATATTTGACTCCGTACAAAATCACAACTCTTATGTTTATTAAAATCTACTGTTCTGTTACAAGAAACAAAGGTAAATCCTTTAAATTAATCTATGTGAAATATTTCAAATAAATATTACATTTATTTCTAGTTGTCGAAGAAAGAAAAGATTTCTGCATTGTTGCTTTAAAACTGATACAGGTATGTTAGTCACACTAACAATCATTGTTCATTTTTCCTTTTATAAAAAAAAGTTATGTTTACAGTCACCTGATATGGATTGTAAAGATCTATTTAAGATTCTTAATTCTTCTGAATACACTCTAAATCATTTCAGTCATGAACTTGAGTTAGATTTGAATGTTACAAAAGAAGGAGGTGTAAAAGAAATTCTAGACCTCTTTGATGATTTAGAAAAATCGATGAAACCTATGTCAGATCCTTCTAGCCTTATTTTATTGAACAAGCAATCAGTACTTGGATTATATGTCAGAAGAGCAATTATAATGTTTCAAAAATTAACTTTCCACAGAGTGGTTGCACTTTATGAACAATTTAAAGATTATGTAAATGATTGCTTAGACATTACTCATTCAATTAATGAAACAACACTAGATGAAGATATTCCTCATAAGTATGATTTTATAATTTGATATAAAATTAACATTATTAAGTTTTTTTTCAATTTATCTCTTAATGTAACATTGTTAATTAATTTAATAATTGATCAAATTTTTTCTTTTATATATTCTTAGATTCAGCACTAAAGTATGGGGAGGAAGACAAGCGGAACTGCTTGTTGCACAGCAGGCTCAAGCTTTGCTCACTGATGAACATAAAGCACTTCCCCCAGCAGAGCTACAAGCTCTTGTTAAGGACTTGTTAAGTTGTAGTCCATACTATGCTGAGGCAGTAAGTTTAAAAAATACATATTCTATCAACAATAGTTTGTTGTTGAAAAAAATTAATTTTATAATAATTTCTTTTGCAGCATTATCTAAGTTATCTCAACTGTTTGAGGGTTAATGAATATACTGGAGCATTGCATAGTTTATATCATTGCTTTGATAGACTGACACCTGTGGATAGTAGTCCTCGGTTAAATGAAGATAAACTAAGGTCATTTCGATATGCTGCTTTAAATCTAGCTGCACTTCATGCACAATTTGGATACAAGTAAGCTATCTTTTTATTCGTCTTATATAAAAGATTAATTTATTTAAGAAATGTTATTTTTCAGAAAATTGGCTCAATTGGCTTTAAAGGAAGCAATAATGTTAGCTCAGGAAGCAGGGGATAATGTTTGCTTACAATTGGCTCACTCATGGAATTATTATTTAACTGATAAAAACAAGTAAATTTTATGAATTTACAATCAAAATAAAATTTAAGTTTCCTGTACTAACTGTAATAATTGATTTACAGAGGATCTCTAATTGAAAGATCAATTACAAAAGCAACTGAGTTAGGCATGACTCACACTGCAAGCCTAGCACTGATTGCTTCTGCTCATGAAGCAGCAATGGAAGGAAAAAGTCCTCATATTGTATTTGAGGTAAAGCATTATCAATTGGAATAAATTTTCATCTACTAGCAATCTGACACTAGTATTAATGTTATAGACTCTCACGAAATCAGATTCTCTCAACAGTCAACACACAATGATTGATTTGATGTCTATGATATATGCCGAAAAAACAGCATTGTGGGCTTATTACGGGAAAACAGAGATGGCTTCCGTCTGTGCACAATTGTTATTGCTCTTCAATTCAGGTGAAAAGAAACAGCCAATGTTTAATGGTGAATCGACTTGTCAGGCTGTCGTTACAATTGCTAATATTTTACATGAAATGGGAGAATATGTATTAGCTAGTGTTGTTTTATCACATGCAAAGGAGAGATTTCCCAATCAACCTAGCAGCAGAATATGGGCTCTTAGCGAACTATTACAAGAATTTTCAAAACTGTTGAAAAATGAAAAGTGGTCAGCAGCTGAGCGGATAGCCGATCAAATGTCCAGTTTGGATCCTATAGAAAGTAAATTCAGGTATATTGAAATCGCGACGTGATTATAATGAAAACTGAAGATAGATCATTCATTGACCAATAAATTTTTGATTACAGAATGATAGAAGTATTGTTTGCAAAGCATGATTTTCCTAAAGCTATAGATTTAGCTTACGAACTAGATGAAATGGAGAACATTACAGCGCAACAAAAAGTCAGAGCAAAGCTTCTCATAAGTCAAATAAAATGCGGCTCCTGCGAAGCTGGCACTGAGGGATCAGCAACATCTTCTGTTTTACTCTTATGCTCTGCATTAGACATAGCAAAGAAAGCACACTTGTCGTATTACGAAGCGCTAGTCAAAATGTATATGGTCAATGTACAGGTGAACTTAATTTCTATAATGAACATAGAATTGTTACTTTTTAAACAATCTAAATAATCTCTTTATTTGCAGTTATTATTGAGAATGCCCTATCAAGCACTGAGAAACTTGCAAGAATCAATCATTCAAATATTAGCGAACGGCGGATTGTACGATCAAGCTCGAGCATACGTCACTTACGCTAAGTGTTTATCAGCCAATGCAGCAAATCAACCAGAAGATAATAGGAGGGTAATGCTACATGAAGCTATAAAGCAGTTGTGCAAAGCCAAAAGTTTATTCGAAAAATTAGAAGCCAACGATAGATTGAAGACCACGTTGTATTTTTTGAGCCGTTTGTATCACGAGATCGACATGCACGAGGAACGCAATATGTATGCCTTTGAGTTCAAACAACTCGATCATCAATTTCCCACTGAAAAAAATTACATATATATTTTTTAAGATGCGTTTTTTATACAAATAAATTGATTTTCTTTTTTATGAAAAATCTCGTCATCTGTTGCATTGTTTTTATTTCAATTTGAATCTAAAAATAATGTTAGTACTCTATCAGTTTCAGCTACACTAAAGATTTACTGGCCTGCAAGCGTGTTTTAATTAAATTATAACATCAAGTTGACACTCTTTGATTTGTAGTCTTCGTGGTCAATGAGAACATCATCTCCATCATCGTAGAAATGATTTTCCCACTTACTTGATATATTATATTTTTGGGTTTTCTCGTGTTGATATTGAACAATGTCATGGTCGGAAAATTTTTATATAGTTCATCAACCCCTTGACTTACTTCAAACAGTTTTCATAAGAGAAATTAAAAATTAGATTGCAATTAGTGGTGTCAAGAATCGTTGATTTTATTTGTACATCTCGATCAATGGTCGTTGCCGAGTTGAGCAAGTAAAACATTAGATTGTATTTAACCATACAATCCGGTCGTCAAAATACACAAACATTTTTATGATTGATTAATTCGACTAGTTAAACTTGAACTTTAAGAAATAAACATTTATAAATAAAAAAAATATTAACTAGATTATTTATGACGATTTCAGGTATGATTAATCTGTTACACGAAATTTTAATAATTACATTCATTTTGTGCAACAATCATATAAATATACATATGCATTCATATAGAAGATCCATAGTTACTTAATAACGATCTAATGATTAATAATGAAAACTATTGTATAAAATTTATACAAATTTATTTGTTATAGTTCTATAGAAATTAGAACAGATAAGTGACACTAATACTGTGTTGGAAATAACTGTGGATGCAGTTGTTCGAGCTGCTAATAAAAAAATATTTTTATTATTAGTAGCTTTATTATTCGAGTTTCAACAATGTTCTGTTTTAATATTATTTTAGGATATTTTGAAGCAATCGTTATTATAATAATTGAAAAAGCACAATCACTGCGCAAGTTCGAATCTGAAAAGAACTTATGGAACACTATTATCTAGATAAGATAATCTGACAGTTACTAGCGCCATCTCTAATAGGGCAGGCTATTCAAATGCTCGGCAGATTGTTCTGGCAGCTATGAGAAAATGACGTGAGCAGAGCAGATAATCGTCGTGTCGTTATCTTGCTCACTCTGCTCCCGAAAGGGAGAACATACACGCAGTTGATATTGCACGACGTTCACGTTTCATTCGACAGTCCGAACTACGTGCGCTCGGTCAAAGTGATTTATTAATTAATGTGATGTTTTCTGTAGGCAAAAACGAGGTAAGCCGTAGCCACATTTACATCGATAAAAATGTTAGTTGAGCAAGTGAAAAGACAGAAAAAATTGATAAGTTTCATGTTGTTTTTTTCCGTACTCTCTCTATTTCTCCTGTCTCTCTCTTTCTCTCTCTCTCTCTCCTCTCCTCTCTCTCTCCTCTCTCTTCTCTCTCCTCTCTATCCTCTCTCTCCTCTCTCTCCTCTCTCTCTCTCTCTTTTTTTTTCGTTTCCTCTCTTGATGTGCGCGGATGAGAAAGTGAGTAATCGTGTTGTGTGCGCGGACAATGTGACTTTTTTTTTCTTTATTGCGCCATGAGTTCCTGACGTCTAAGGCTGCTTTGCTGGGAGTGTCTGTGTAATTTAACGCGGACGGACTTCCAGATGCGAAACCAGCAGTCTTACCGTGGGTGGGATTTTCTAGGTCTCTTTCTTATATTAGTGACGTGTTTTCTTTGGGAAAGTCCGATAATTTTTTCATCGATTCTCAAAACGCCAGTCACTAAAAGCTTGAAACACGTTTTATTGATAGCTCGCTCACTCGGTTGTTTTTTCAATTAATCGGTACGCGAGATAAGCAGTTTTTTTGGTTTATTTTCCAAATCATTGTCACTGATGAATTTGACGATACAAATAGTCCGTTTCGGATTTTCATTTGAAAAAAACATTGACGTTACGTTGAAAATTGAAAAGATTTGGACGTGTGGGTGTTGTGCAGTCACGGATTTCACTGTAGGCATTGCACATATGGCCTGCTCTACTTAATAAAAAAGTAACCAATGTTATTGAAAATAAGCTATTGAGAATTTTCCAAAGACAGTTAACATCAAATGATTTTATTCTGGGAGAAGCTATATAACTTGTTTCTGCTGGTTGATGGGTAATATTTTGAAATAAGCTGGCTATTTATAAATACTATGTGTGATACCACCTCATTTCAGTAAAAAAGTATAGATCAGTAATTCAAAAATTTTCATAACATTTTTCTAAGAATAAAAGTTTTATGAACAATCGTGAAATAATTTATTATTATACAATTTTATGTAAAAGTAAATTTTCATTTCAAATTTCATTAGTAGGATGAAGTTAATACCACCAATAGATGCAATCTTCTTATTATGATATAGAACAAGTAACTCAGTTTGTAGTCACTGTTTGTAAAGCTACATTAAATCACTTTAAACAAGTCATACATATGTTTATACAATATTTTATTAAAAATATATATCCATCTAATTTTACAGAATGCCAATACAGGCACCACAGTGGACTGAATTTCTTTCTTGTCCTGTTTGTTGTCATGACTTTGATGTGGCTATTCGTGGTCCCATATCCTTAGGATGTGGACATACAATATGCCGAACATGCTTGGCCAACTTACACCGAAAACAATGCCCCTTTGATCAGGTTTGTCGAGCACCTTAATCGCTATTTCCATTTATAGAGTTTAAGAATAATCTATTGTATATTTTTTTGTAACCTTTAGAGTCCTATCAACACAGAGATCGAGAAGTTACCAGTAAACGAAGCTCTACTGCAATTAGTGGGCAATTCAGTGCCAAGCAACAATGCATCAACAACATTTCAATCACTTTTATCCCCTGAAGATTTCACTCACTACTTGGTGGCCAAACGTTGTATTGAGGAACTTGCACTGTACCTCAAACCATGTCAAGCAATGCCAAACAATGCGACCGGTAATTAATCTGTCATTAAATGAATATTTTAACTTATTTATGATTTTAATGTATTTAATATATATTATAAATTTTTTTTTAGGTATTGGTTTAGTATCTAGACCAATGCAAAGAAAACTAGTAACTCTGGTCGGATGTCAACTGGTAGAACCAGAGGGTAGAGCAAGAGCTGTCAGAGCAGCAAGAAGCTTAGGTGAAAGATCTGTCACAGAATTAATTCTGCAGCATCAAAATCCACAGCAGTTGAGTGCCAATCTTTGGGCTGCTGTTAGAGCGAGAGGATGTCAATTTCTTGGACCTGGTACTGTAAACAATAAATTAAAAGCTTGATTATAAATTAAACTATTAGCTTAATGATTTCTACCGATGCTTTTCACTCAGGTATGCAAGAAGAGGTGCTAAAACTCGTGCTTTTGGCTCTCGAGGACGGCTCTGCTTTATCGCGAAAAGTATTAGTCATGTTTGTAGTGCAACGCCTCGAGCCTCATTTTCCTCAAGCTTCAAAGACCAGTATAGGACACGTAGTACAGTTGCTCTACAGAGCCAGTTGTTTCAAGGTACGTCTGCATCGCACAATTTGAAAATGTCATGTTTAATCATAAATTCCAAAATCCATTTAATGACTTTTTTGTGTAGGTATCAAAGCGCGAAGGCGATTCATCGTTGATGCAATTGAAAGAGGAATTCCGTACATATGAGGCGTTGCGTCGCGAGCACGATGCTCAAATAGTCCAGATTGCCACCGAAGCTGGACTAAGAATTGCTCCAGATCAATGGTCGGCATTGCTTTATGGCGATACCAGTCACAAATCCCATATGCAAAGTATCATTGACAAACTACAGACACCTCAATCGTTCGCCCAAAGTGTACAGGAACTTGTTATTGCTTTGCAAAGGACACCGGATCCTGGACAACTAAGCAATTTGAGAACGCATTTAGAATTGTTAGCAGCTATTGATCCCAGTCCAGGTAGCCAAAAAAAACTTTTTGTTTATAAATTTTTATCTCGAAAAATACTGCAAAATAACGATTTCAACTTTTACAGAATTAGAGCCACCATGTTGGGCGGAATGTCGTGCAGCTTTGGAAGCAATAAAGATCGTAGTGACAGCACTTGTAGAATTCATTCAACAACATGGTAACCGTAAATCTCAGGATGGTCCTCACAACACTGGTCAATCCAAGTACAAAGTCAGCATGTGTCGGGATTTAGCTTTGCGTGGTTCGTGTCCACGAGCAAGCAGTTGTACCTTTGCTCACAGTGATCTCGAGCTTGACAAGTACCGTTCAAAGAATCGCAAACTTGGTCCTAGAGTAAATTTGTCACTCAATGGAACTGCTGATGGAAAGAACGAGAAACAGCTGGTTGTTACGACTGGCATTGGAGTTGGTAAAGGATTCAAACATTGCAAAGATGTTGTTAATAATTTTAACAAGAATCATGACAATTCGCATAGAGATAGTAAGTATACTCAAGTAAATTTCGTAAAAATGTTAAAAAATCGAATTTTTAACTATTATTGTATAAAAATTATTTATTTGCAGCTTTCAACCAGCTACACAAGAACAATCCAGTACAGCAATCGCCAATCAATAACGATAACTTCATTGGTTCGCTGACTAACTATATGTTACCTGGAGCACAAAATGTATCGCGTTTGATACCTCAAAAAGATATTCAGTGCGGACATTACATCATGTCCGCAGGTAGTGGCCCGTTGGATTATGCAGCGGCAAATTTACATTTGTGGGATCCATCACAAGTCGCCCCCGCGATGCAAAACGTCTATCCTAACAACAATAATAACAACAAAAAACAGAGAACAGCAGCTAAAACGCTTGCCGTGCTATTGCAACGTAGGATGGAGATAATTAATCAGTTGGAGAATCTTGTTGGCAAACAGACTCCTACTCAAATGAAAGCGGTAAGTGCGTGAGACTAATTATTTATAGGTAGAGAGCTGTGCAAGCAATTACAAATATGTTTTTATTATGTTCTAGAATTTTTATGATATTCAGAATGATCCTTTTAATTCGAATCATTCGATTTGGACTAATGCTGCTGCTAATCAGACGACCCAGACTAGTAATATTAATTTTGCTAACAATTATATTTGCAACGATCCTTTATTGTACGATGATGAATTTGTACCTTTCGACGCTTCTTCGGCTAATAAGTATGGCCCAATTTCAAGATTATCAAAATCCATCCTAAGGTGAATTGATTGATCAACGCTTTATAGTTAAACACAAATCATTATTGAATTCATTTTTAATATTACTTACAGACCGACAAACGGAGTCCAGCAAAACGGTATTTATAACGATGGAATGACTAACTCTATTTCAACACTGCGACCTGTGCCTGCGTCTAGTCCTATAAATTCTCGACTGTATAATCAACGTGAGAGTGCTCTACATTTATGGGAAGGAATAATATTTCAAGTTTGTTTTATTAAATACCATTTTCTTTATTTTAGCAGCTTACACAGCTATCGGAACTAATGGTGGAATACAGCAGATTCCAAATTCTGGTTTCAGTGATAATTGTATTACTTTGAGTCGCAATATAACCGAGACTAATTCTTCGTCAATACCAATTCCCCGCCAAGATTGCATGTCAAAAGAGTGAGTTTATAAAAATCTATTGCATTTTTAGTTGTTACTTGATGACAATACACTTTTCAAAATAATCATTTGTTTATAGCATTATAATTGAGTCACAAAAAGTTAAGCAGCAACTGAAAAATTTAGAAAAGAAAATCAATGACTTAAAGGTGAATTTCAAAATAATTAGTTTTAATTAAAATTCAAATGTTTTAGGTGACAATTTATATTATTGTTAATTTCTTACAGCTCGCCACCCAAGGAGCGACATGTACCGAAGGTGAAAGGTTAACACAGGAACTGCAAATGATTGAAGCTGGAATTCGTGAAAAAGAAAAGGATGTGTGCAATTGGAGTCCATATAGTAACACAGCATGGATTCAACCTCCTGTTAACCTAATTTCGAGTCAAAATTTGAACAAAGATTTCAAACCTGATGAGGTATGATGCAACTTTATTGTCTAAACTGATATCTAATTGTTTACATAAAAGAGTAGTCGTTGAAGCGCCACTTTTTACATTGAACTTTCTCTTCAATAATCAAGTAATAAAACGATATCGGACTATTCATTATAATGTTATACATTTCTTTCCGCTAATAATAAAAGGAGGATGCATACGAGGCGGATATTGCAAATGACATGCGGGAGTTCGAGTTACGATGGGAATCCGAGCTACAGGAGCATGAAAAGCGTTGGTCCGAGGAGGAAGAGATAAAGAAAGTGTAAAAAATTTCAACAACGTTTGCTTGCAAGCTCTTAGATATTATCAAAGTTAACTAGTACACTGTCGTACTCCGTGTTGCTATTGTTTGATTTTTATTCAACAAAATTAATATCGTAGGATGAGTTAGACGTATGTTGCACAATCTATACAGTACTGTAACAATGCGTTTCATCCGTCAGTTATAGTTAATGATAAAGGCAATTTTTTTCTTTTTTTTAATTAAAACGTTACCAATCGTATGCTATTTTTTTACAATATTTCCGTGTTATGTTTAACGCTTTTGTTTAATCATAAATCGATAACACTTCTGTTTATTTATGAACAGAGGCATTATTGAAACATTTATTAAAATGCAATCCGAAATTGTTGCAGTATTGTTCTAATAGAGTCACAATATACGCTTAGATCGAATGTTTATCAATTTTTTGTTTGTACATAGTCTTTGAAAATCGTACAGAATTTATATCATTCTAATGATATATAACCATAATTTTTTTTTTTTCGTTTCCCTTTCAAGAAAAATTTACTGCTACTCCGTCAAAGTACGAATTTTATAGGGAAAATATAAAACAACCTCAATGAGGTTAAATACCAATAAAAATTAATTTATTCGTACTTTTGACCGTAGAGTCAAGGTGTAGAACCGTAACTTAATGAAAACAGAAATTAAATATCTAAGAGAAATTGATACGTTAATGACGGTTGCATTTTAGAGTCCGGAAATTCCACAGAATTTTTTGACTTCAAAATGTCATTTGTAGTCATTGAAAAATAGTTTATAGTGTTCGAAGAAAAAATAATAAAAAATTGTTTTACATAAGCAAAACGTATACATGGGTGGCGTATATAGAAAACTCGAAGATTTGTTAAAATTTAACAGAAATTAATTGTCAATGTTTTATAAACATGGCAGAGTGTAGTATATTTATTTATATATATCTCTATGCAGGTAGGGTGAAACTCAATGGTATCGCTATGATATGTAAGGGGCGGACGATGAACAATATATATATACATATATATATGTATATATATATATATATATATATATATTATACGTTTGATAACCTGGGTCAAAAAATGGTTACGTGAAAATATATATGAATACATTTTATGTAGAAGAAAATTGGATATTAATGTTGAAAGTATAATTAGCGTACGAAGAATCAAAGTTTCTCGAGAGAAATCTTGAAATTCTATTGAAAAGTGTGCGTTATTATTTTTCCACTAATCTCATTGTAATAACTATGGAATTCATATATTTAATATAGTTTCGAAAAGATTCATATAATCAGATCTAATATTTATCTCAATTTTTGTATAAGAAGTGATTACCTTCACGATTTATCTTTAATAGACTTTTCTAATTTCAAGGTTTCAATCGTCCCGATTCAACATAAATTATTGTAATAATTACATTTATTAAAGAAATTCTTATATTATTGTAGTGAGCGATAGTCTCTATGTGGATTGGAATAGTTCTTTGGGAATTAAGCATGCTAATTTTATCACTTCCGAAAACTACATTTTACAAACATTGCCGTGAAAAAAATTTATAAATTTGTATAAAACGCATGAAAAGAAATTCAAAAATAATCATTGAACGACTGAAGTAATGTTTTGATTTTTTATTGTGCAAGCGCATGCGAAATCGAAATTTATAGATAAAGTGTGCGCTTATACAAAAGAAGGATGTGCAATGACAAAACTGTGTTTTCTTCATAATTAATAAACAGCAACGTTAATGCGAAAACGTTTTCGTCGTTTTACCGCAAAATCAGAAAGATATTGTTTACTGTGCCTAGACAACAGCAAAGCATTTCTCGTATTCTATATATATATATATATATATATATATATATATATATATATATATATATATATATAAATCAGAATATGTATATATATAGCTAAAGACGATAAACGATAAAGACTGGCAAACATAATTGCAAAAAAACAAAGAAATTACAATTATCTGTAATCTGTAATTATTACAAAAAAGAGCCCAACACAATCTTAATTGTTTAGTATTTCCTTTTTGATTGTTACATCGAAATAAAGCTATAGATTTCGTTTACGAGCGAAACGGTTTTCTACAAAGTCACATTGGCTTCCCATACGCTTACACGTATTATTTTTATGTATACTACGGGCTCTGCATTTTTGTTTCATTCATTGAAAATAGAAAATGTCGGTGTTTGTCGATCAATCGTAAATCATCAATTTGTTCGTATTATTACTTTTATTTTACGAAGGCAACCTGCATTGCTCTACGTATAAAAAAATGAATAAAAAACTGTCAGATTGGAATAGTGTTTTATTTGAATTTAGTTTGTTTTTTATATGATACATAATGTATAACCGATTGTATAATGGATTCCAGTTTTATTGGAAGTGTTGATAGACTTTTTACGAGATCACCGGATAACTGATTTAAAAAAGGCAACCGTCGATCATAAGATTATTTTTATACCCTTTCAAGAGAAACTGAGTATGTTCTGGCATAATAATTTTATTAAATTGATTTCTGCGTGCATATGATTTATCAATGTTATTATTATTTCTGAGTTTATGATTCATAGATAAAAATTTATTTATGATCAAAGAAGACAAACAGAAATGTTTTGCTAGAACTTGATTCTTAATTACTTTTTTCAAGTCGAAAGACACAATAGTGCAATTGATTTGTCGAAAATTAACTTCCTTCTTCTCTCTACAGTTCGTAACATTTTTAAAAGCTTGTATGCACTTTTGATATTATTAAATGAAATATAAGAAAACTGTGGCGCGAAGGATAAAGTTACTTATCGGTTGATTGTTTTTGCGAAAAAATAGCTTTATAGTCATAGATTGTTATAGTTCGATTTGTAATTCATGTATTTACATTTATTTGTCATCTGTAAGAATATTTTTTTTCTTTTTTAATATAAATGTTGCTTACTTTTACGCTGAATCTCTTAATATGGCATGTTACTTGGTCGCTTCACTTGCACATCTCCCTCTTTTATACCTCTAATTAACCGTGTTTTCCAAACTGTATCTACGTAAGACTTTATTGAATTCATTGTAAATTGGAAAATTATACCTCTTTAAACTTTGCTCCGCGTAGAAACAAAAACATGGTAATATTAAAAGCAAAATATTGTAATTTTTACTATTTCAAATTCATCAGTGACAAATGCTTTTTATAATCCCTTTCTCACAGAAACAAATTACTAATTGGATTTTTCAAAGATTTGCTTAGTAGTACAAATAATAATATTTTGCACAGATTTACAACTACTAGACATAATTTTTGCAAATTTTTTAACTGACATAACTGTTCATCCAGTTCACAAAGACAAAGAAAAAAATTGTGTAGCGTGTACGCCGAGTAAGTAGACTGAAAGAAGGTAGAAACAAATTATAATATTATAAATGGAGATAAAAAAATATTAAATTAAGGAGGGCTGTGTAAACAATGGGAAGTAAAAAGCGCAGCAATATTGTTTGTGCAAGCTTCAGATTAATTGCATGTTAAACATGTCACTTTATATATGTACGACGATTAATCGATACGCGTGTATCTGTGTTAATGGTATGGAAAAATAAAAAGTACAAAAAAAAAATAAAAAATACAATTAAAATAGTACTTATGAAGATCTTTTACAAGTACGCCCAAAAAAATGCAGATGCAGTTTTTTTCATTAAATGGAGACAACTGCAAGTATATAGTTAAATATATGTATTGATATTAATGACTTCATAAAAATCAGGAAGCACATCGTACGACAAGAGATAAAATAAACAAAATCACACCACCGATGAACAACCAAGTGTATTCAATTTTGTGAAAATAAAATTCAATTGCTTGTTGAAAAGATCAAATGTTTTTGAAAAATGTCGATGAGCATAAAATTCATTTTTCGCTATAAAAACATTTTTTAAACGATTTTATTTTGTATCTAGTGGAATAGAAATTGTAAAGTCAATTGTGTGATTTTTTTACCGATAGCGACGTAAATACGTACAATTTTCGTGTACAGCTTTGTCTTGTTGCGTTGGTAAAACCCTAAATTTTTTTAACATTATGACAAAAACGTAAGTCGAACTATCGTAATATTTGTAATTACAAAATGACTTTGCTAGCAGTACTTTCAACTGCGAAGACGTTTTCCTCATTAGTTGCAACTAATTTAATACGTAAATATTAATGTACTATCTTTAATATTTGTGTATTATCACTGGCTACTACGTGAACAATTAAATAAATGATTTGAATTTTAAGTAAAAAGTAAGTCATTTCGATTGTTTAATCGTTCTTTGATACTTTTATAACTTGAAAAGGGGAGTAATATTTATTCAATACTGATGTGTGTAATGAACTCGAAATCGATGTCATGATTTTTTTTTGTTTATTTAATACAGAATTGTTAACTGCAGTTAATTGAGTAGTTGTTTTTATTGTATGGACATGCAAATTTCAGTGTATTGTACATACATATATCTTTATACATAAATAAAAGTAAAATACTTCTACAAAAAAAATATCATTTCGTTTACTGACAACTTAAATTTATCTAATTATTAAGATGTTTCAGAACAAATTAATCAGAACGCGGGTTTCTTATTTCTTTGTCAAAAATATTAAGGACTTAAATGGAAAAAACTTGAAACTTGGCTAATATTACTGCCTGAATAACGAAGTTTATTATAGAGTTATTTAAAGCTCTTTAGCTTTCTTATTGTAGGTTTTTATACAATGTTGTGCCTCAATTGGATGTTGTACTTCGGGATTTCGTAATAAAAAAAAGCAATTGTAATTAACGTTTTAAAGAATTCATATGAAAGTTATCATTTCAAAAAAAAATTAATGTATACTGCTGCAGTTAAAGGGCGTTTCTATTGCACGTTTATTTATTTAGAAATTAATTAAAATATTGGAAATAATTCTTAACTTCGTATTATTGACATATTTTTCAGTGTGTAAAATGTAAATATATTTCTGCTTGAAATATTCTTTGTTCGTAAATTGAATGTTAATAAAAAAAATCATTGAGTGTGATAATATCCACACATATTCGAAAAGCTATAAAACAGTATTAAAAAATTGAGAACATAATAATTTTTAACTGTTTTTCCATCGATTTATGCGATAAATAACTTTTTCACGTCTTCACTTTTCTTTTATAAATTGTACTACGATCAAAAATGTAATATATTTATATACTCAACTTAATAACACATTAAATTTTAATTGTGTAACCTTACCGCAAATCCTAACGCAATACCTTGTTGTTTTGTTTTATCTTAAATTTTTTTGTACTTAAGTTATAAAAATTATTTAAATTTTTTTTGTACTTAAGTTATAAAAATATACTTCAGTTATACGACACAGATATTCTATACTAGCGCTGCAATTATTTCATTTATTTTATTTTGTTAATTATTATGTATTGTAATATTCAATACTCTTAAATGATTTCTACATTTTTATATGAAAATTAGTGATTAATTATAAATAAATATAAGAACTGATCATTCTTTAAATTTTTGAATTTTTTATTTCATTGTTGACAAAAGTATCACCACAATTGCAATAATAATGAAATGTTATTTTGAAGTATCTTCATTGCGACGTTCACAGAAAGATCGTGATTGATTTTCACATATAGTTCAAGATCAAACTCTTCAATTTTTTCATTGTGTAACTTCATCGCAGTCTATATATTTCCATGTGAAATTCAAAAATCGCTATAATTTACTTTCGTCTACCATACCGACAGAGTCTAAAGAAAATGATCATCGAGATGTCGCTTTACCTCGGGATTTCCAAATTTCCAGGAAACAATGCTCTATAGCAGAGGGAGAGAGAGAGAGCGCAAATTCCCGTTGCGTGATGTACATGCTGTTAGGCAGAGAGTCAGAGACAGTTATTCGTGAATCATCGTGTTCTTGTCTGTACCGTATTCTTGTGTTCCTTAAAGGTTAAACGCGCGACAAGTGTCAATATAAACGTTTTACACTAAAGTTCGAGTGACATCCAGGAGTAGACAATGTCATAGTCCATATTAGTGTTCTTTCGGGGTGTGAAGCCAGAGTAAGCGTGTATACGCGTGTGGCATCACCGTCAGCCAGTAGTCGCACGTAAGCGACTCTGTGTGTGCGAGCAGCGGCATATTATTGCTTATTGTTGAAGGCGAGTCAAAAGACTTGCTACTGCTTACCGTGGATCTCCACCGTGTTGTAGCCTTTGCGATTTGTATGATAGTATGTCACCGTTAGCAACATCGGTTGAAGCAATTTCTTGGCATTATTTCGTGTTTCTCCCGGCTAAATCTTGCGATACGTCAACCCCGTGGTCGCGAGTGAAAGTGGGCCAAGGCGTTTTCATATCCTAGAGTATTCTACCTGTCTTTTCTAATGATCCTTGCATGAAGCAGTGTTATATGTACGAGTCTCCAAATCGGATGTCTTCTTATATTATCCTTCTGTATCATTGAAAGCGTTGTGATTAGTGTAAATATACGTATGGAATCCGTTCATCTTGTACGATAAAGACGCGGTTGCTGTCTTTCGCTTTTTGTGGGAAAGCTGCCACTCGTCATTTGAGTTAGTGTCATTGTTGCGTGTTAATGTTGCAAAAAAAAAAGAACGCGTAAGAATTGATCGAATTATTTTATTAGATTACGAAATTCGATTAACCGGTACGACAAAGTAGCACACGCGGTGCTCCGTGCAATTTTTTTAAATCTTCAATTCCACATGACAATCAGTGTATATTATTTTTCCCAACATATCCATTGAAAATCGTCAGTGGTCATTGTCACAAACAAACTGCCCTCGATTATTTCGTTGAAGTTAAAATAATGTGTGCGGGAGACATTTGCTGCTTGCGCCGCAGTGCAGAAAAGCCGCCGTCGCCGCCGCTCGATTTTCTTCCCCTCGCATACTGCTGCTGCCGCCCCTCTTCTCTTCCCGCGCGCGTTTTTTTCGCTCTGGAATTTTCATGAGTGAGAGAGAGAGAGAGAGAGAGAGAGAGAGAGAGAGAGAGAGAGAGAGAGAGAGAGAGAGAGAGAGAGAGAGAGAGAGAGAGAGAGAGAGAGAGAGAGAGAGAGAGAGAAATGCGCTACCGTGAGCGGTTATTTAACCGCGCTTCGTATTTAAAGTTCTAATGTGCGCGCATGGGAGAGCTTTAGTTTATCAAACGTCGTTCTGAGTAATGCGATAACAATCGATACACTGGCCTTTCATGACACGCTCAATTATTTTCATTGTGCGACTCGCATGCACTTGATATTTCGATTATGCATGTGAGCAGCGTGTTGTTTTGAGTTTGATTCATTCGACTCGCTGGTGAATAGTTTCTCAAGTATTTTTACAGTTAATGACTCATTTGGAAATTTGTTCTTAAAATTGAGTCGTATTCGTTGGAATATGAATGATAGTACGAATGTTTTATTGCAACGTGACACAAATTTTTACTTGCTCGTCAAAGCTAAATTAACTTAGGTAATTGAATTTTTCTCGTTGAACTAGAGAGAACTACATTAATTTATCGCGCCTGGGTATCACACCAAAGTTGAACAAATCTTTCGTGCTGTATGTGTGCATTTGGGGCAAACTGGCCGAATGCAATGCCACTAATTTTAGCTAGACCGTGAATGATTCGTAATAATACGAAAGTTAGAGAATAGTATTGATGCGTTTCTAGCCAATATATTTGACTATTTAATTATCATCGTGAGATTGGAAAATAATTAATTTAATTTTTGCTCGTTTGAATTGCAATCGCGCTATTTTTTCCATTTGAATATTCGAAAGAAAATTTCAATTTTTTTCAACGGCATGACTACTAGAAATAAGTTTACAATAGTAATAAAACTGATAGTTAAAGATTTCTTTGGCATTCTTGGTATAAAAAGAAGTTATCCATGCCCATACAGTCAATATTTACTTTTTATGACTTTTACCTATTTACTCTTGGACAGTTTCGATACAAGCATAAAGAGAATCCATTGTAAAGATAATCGAAGTGCAAGCCTACTAGTAAAACGCTTTTCTCAACTATTAATTGGTGGAGTGTCCAATGCCTACTGTATTGAAGAAATATTCTTATTATCCGTTAACAATGCTTTTTAATACTTTGTTATTTTATTTTTCAGAAACATTACCAATCATTTACAACTCACTGACTCCATTAACAATTTTGCATTAAAAATTGATAATGGCAAGCTCAAGGATCCAATATTTTACAGCAGTACCGAAACGTCGAGTACAGTATCCACGAATATTCCGGTACGCTTGAGCACACCTATATCATCGATTAAATCGCGAAACCATCACACAGTTACGATACAAAAATGCCGACGAGTACATTAGCGAGAGGTGTAAGTGCAGCTATAACTGCTCAACCAACGCCACCGCCAGCACACTATCTTCACGAATTGCCAGCTCAAGACGAGGAGAGATTAGGCATATTATTTAAATCTCTGGATCTTGATGGAAATGGCAGGATTGACGTGCACGATCTATCCAAGGCACTTTCTCAAGCTGGAGTGCATGAGAGATATGCTCAGGTAAAGGCTGTTTGATTGCTTTTTTTTCATTGTTCTCACAAAAGGGAGTTTAGACGTGGGAGGGTGTGTGTTAAATACTATTTTTACTTTATTGATTTTCGTGCGAATTTCAGAGATTCGGGAAAGCACGTTCTTGCTAAGTTAGTTTTTACTAAAGAAGAATTTGTACGTTTGAAACGTAATCAAAGTTAAATGAAACTTTATTTTTCGTTGAGTAAAATAGTTATCGATCGGAAATAAAAAGTGAAAGTTGAATATTCAAACTGTCTAAATATATATAATTATTGAATCCTGATTTTGGCAAATGTTATATTTATGCGAGTTTTCCAGTTTTGTAAAATTTAAATAAATTATAAATTTCATAAATTAGCATTCAAAACAATATTTTAAGTTATGTTTGTTAATTTTTAGCAAATTTTACAAGTCTTAAAAATCGATTTTCATTATATTTTCGAAAATAGCTTAACAAGATTAAATAGGTACATTTTAAATTCAATAAATCTTAATAGCATTAAAGCTTCTTAAAGAATCTATCTGTTGACTATTAAATCACGAAATTTAATGAATTTTTATTACTCTGATTTAATTAAAGTGACATCGTTGATGGAAAAGCAGTAACCCTTATTCGTCAAAATATAGTTTCGAGAACAAATAACTGTAAGAAACGTAATATTGAATTTGTAACGTCAATTTAAAAGATTCCGAACCGTCAAAGAAGGTCACAATCGGGTATACTCACGGTCACCTATAATTTAGTATGCACAGACACCTGCGGTGAACTTGAAAATTTTCAATGCGACTTCGATCACTGTGCTTCAATGTAAACATAATTTTCAAGGTGAAGTCACATTTGAAAGAAAAATTTTTTTTTGCAAAAATTTGCATATTTTTTTCATCAGGATATAAAATTGTTGCATGTTTATACTTTATTTTTCGAGTTAAATAGTGTTGAATAAGATTAACGTAATCACAAATATATACGGCATGTAGTATTATTGGATAATATTTAAAATGTATTTTATTACCATGTCTTAAATTATTGTCTGTTCGTTGCCAATAGATAAATCATTCCTTTGGTCAAACACTAAAAGTGTCTAGCTTAGTTTCGTAAGCGATCAACTTTTTGTTCTCTGATTCCTTAGAAAGACAAATTGAAAGCGTATTTAATTTGCTACATTTAATTTTTTGTACGGTTTCACTCGAGACAATAGGCTTTTCTTTGTACTTCTTCACATGAGCACAAAAGTAATGTGTCGCATTTTTAAAATTACGTTAATACATTAATTATTCTACAATACTTAAATTTAAATTTGCAGAAATTTTTGGCTCGTTCCGATCAAACGAAAAGTGGAGACATCTCTCTGGCAGAGTTCATCCATTACGTACGAGAGCATGAGAAAAATTTACGTCTGCAATTCACAGATCTCGATAAAAATAAAGATGGTAAGCACCGCAGAACTATCAAACAGATTTTACGTTTTAATCTTTTTCTATGGATACTATCTCTTTCTTCTTGTAGGAAGGATTGACTTAGAAGAATTGATAAAAGCATTCAAGGATCTTGGCATTGAAATGGAACGAGCCGAAGCGAAAAAACTACTTCAGAGGTTCGTCATGTATAAGATTTTATTAGTGACATCTAGCAATAAAACAAATCATTCAATAAATCCAACGATGTGGTTTAATTCACGTTATATTTTTATTTTAGGATGGACAAAGACGGAAGTCTTAACATTAGCTTCAATGAATGGAGAGATTTCTTGCTTTATGCCCCTACTAATGATATCCACGAACTTATCCAATACTGGCGACATACAACAGTGAGTTTTGATTAATATATCGCAATAATAATTGATAATTTTCTCAATATAAACTTTGATTAGTGGAAATAATTTTTGAACACTGCGGTAATAAAACGTGAGAAAAAGTATTCACCATTAAAAAAATTAGTCATACAGAAGTTTTTCCATTTGTATAGTCGGAAAGAGATTCAGTCACCTTCATCACTGCATAACAAAAAAATTTTGTTTTGAAAAGTTTATTACATTTTTTCATCTCGTGCCAGAGAAAGATAAAACATATATAAATATGTTAAAAAGTAATTTAGAAAAAAACGCAACTACCTATTGTCAAAATGGACTTAAAATAACATTAAAAAAACATTTACCTTTGAATTGCCGTAATGCTGTCAGAAATGATTTTCATAGGGTATATTATTAACCGAACTATTTTGGATAGCCCAAACAAAATTAAAAATAACTTGTATTCAAAAGAAATCGGGAAATTCTGATCTATATTTTAACTGTACTATGACTACTATTACTTTCTTAGCGTCTAACTTATTCGTCAATTTTAAAAGGTATATGTCATTATTGCAAATTCCATCTTTATCAACAACAAAATCTTGCAACTTATCGCTGCCAATGAATTTCTCGTATGGCGGCGCTGCGCTACACGTCTGCCAAAGCAGAAGACTTTCCGCGCCGTCTACGGCATCGACAAAAGTAGGGAAGCCACGCGATTCGTCGATCGAGGAGGGCTCGCCTCTCTCCTTTTTTATCCGGCTTTCGCCTCTGCCGCGCGTGTGTGACGTGGGTTCACGATATGACCTTCATTCCCAGCTGTTCAAGCACGGGCATGCGTACCGTTCTACAGCAGACGAGACGCTATCGCTTGACTTTTTTTGTTTCAGCATGGAATACTTTTGGTTTTAATTGAATTATTGTTCTTGATATTTCTCTTGTTTTATGGTAGACAAAAGTTTGTTATTAAAATGTTTTTGCAGCTTGGTTTAAGATAATTTTTGCAGGAGGAAAGTTTTTTGTATCACGTTTTAGAGATTGTCAAATCGTTAACTCACGTTTTCGACATCCCTCGGGCGATATTCGCGACTTTATTATCCAAATCAGCAAGCTCATTAATTTTTATCTAATAAAAAATGTTGATTTGAAAACCTTAGCTTATCTTATAAATTCTTTTCAATGTTATAAAAAAAATTTCCACCTCATACATTTCATTTTATGTCAATAATCTTGAAATATTTTTTAAAATAAAACTTTTATGAATACGTTGACGTATCGTCTAGAATTTTATATTATTTAATTTCTTTACGTGATATGCTATGATCAGAATTTATCAGTAAGAGATTATGAAAGGTTGTTTTACTCTACTCAAAATCAGTTATTTTATCACGAATATCAAAGCTACTGTTGGTCCACTGTGATCAAAATTTTTCGCAATTTATCGGATGAAGCAGAGGAAATTATGGAGCAAAATAACAGTTTCATAAGATATAAAATACTATTTTTATTTTCGATTTGATTAAGCGATCTCAACGCATATTATCTCAACAATTTCATTTAAGACTTAATTTAATATTTTAAAGACTTGCCATCTACAAAATGGCTACAAATGTTTACAAAATTATACTGCAATTCTTTGAATTTTCATTTTGATTTTATCGTATCTCGAAATACATTCATTTTCAATTGCAAGTACAGAGTACAATTATTGTGATATCTGATTGATTAAAGTTAAACATATATATGAAAGAAAAATTTCCTACAATACGGTTGATCTCACACACTAAATGGTTTCATATTTAATCGAAAATGCGGCGTTTTTTGTCAATCAATCAACGAAGAAATGTTCATAAAGACTTATCGTTCAATAACTCCTTTGGATTAATCGTCTAGACGTTGTATATCAACATTTATTAAAGTTTTTTTGTCCAAACCACAACAATATATTACATAATCGTTTCATGTAAAAAACTCGAGATACGCTCAAAATTAAGTTTAATAATTAGCTTCTTGAAGTACCTCACCTAAAAGCTTACTCGGAACGTTCTCGAAGTTCATTCTGTCAAAATGAAAGATCGTGCTTGCGACAATCGGAAAAAAAGTCATGTGCGCATAAATTTGAATAAACAGAGAAAAACGCACGCGCTACTTTGAATACAAAGTTTTATTTTTCATCAGAGATTTGTAATGCGCCAGACGCGCGTCAAATGACGTTTTATAAACGGTTGTCTGTCTGCTCTCTGATAAATATGCGATGAGTATTGTACACCGCGCATAATAGTGTGATATATTCGATTAATAAGTATATGGCTTGGAAAATTGACGATTACTTGGAAATTTCCTTGGCCATTTTCTATTATAAGCATCCATTGTATATACGAAAGTTATCGATTGCATGCAGCTTTTGTAAACGAAATTATATAAATATTTATAATGCAATAATTCGCAATACGATAAGTCGCCTGACATAGCTTTTTTTCAATAAATTTTGAGTGACTTGATACTTTGACATGAATTGCTGATGGTCAATTTCGCGATGTAAACATACAATAAATTATAATCATTTATGCTTACGTAACTAATGCAAAATTGCATGTCATTTGCATTTTTTTACGATATTTTACATTCGATCGAAGGATGCGTAATTGCCTTTAGATATTATACAACGGTTAAAAAAAATCAATATGGCTAAGTTATACATATATACAATTTGTCTTATCGACGAGCTGTTGCCCTCGAAAATGTTCTGCGAACGCGTGAAGTGTCAGAAAAGCGCAAAGTCGATCTGAACTAGTTTTCGTGCGTGTGATGATAATTTAGTAACGTCGGCGACGCTCGTGTCTGTTGATTGTTACGAATTGTTATAACGAGAGACGTGGTGCTGTAGGTATCAGACGCAATTTTTTCACACGAGCTTTTGAGGCAATAATCATATCGTGACTACTTATTTCCCCCCTTCGGTTAGTAACCGGTAACAATGATGTCGGCTTGTAAACAGATTTTTTCACGTTCAATTGTTAACAATTCAATGACATTGACTTTACTCGTAATTGGTTTTATTGAATGATTTATTGTTGAGAATGAGGAATACATTTTTGGCTGGTTAAAGTGGGTTTGTTTTATTTAAGACGCAAGAATTGAAAAATTGTTTTAAATCGCCAAGTACAGTTCATTGTTGTCGTGACCCATGTAGAAGATCGAAATTAATTGTTGACGATTAACAGGAGTGCATTTGTACTGCAATCGTCGAATGCAAGTTGCTTCAAGCTGTAGACCAACTAAGGTTGGCATATGTGCTTTTTATCAGAAATCACTTGGCTTATTTGGAAAGATTTCTGCCGAATTTTCCGATTTGTTGTCCGTTGCCGTCGCGGTCACCAATAGGGCTCCAAGGTATGCAAGTCGACCGCGCTCTCCTCTATCTCTTGCCTCGTTTGTCATAGGTGGGCGAGCAGTTTCGGGCTCAAACAACATTAAGCCGAAAACCCCGAACTGCTTAGTTTTGCAGCAACCACGTTGGAGATTAGAAGTCTCATCGTAATGAGCGAAGCTGCGAGAAAAATTGTCAATGGTCGTCAACTTCGAATGCTGCAAATTTGGATTCCGCTTGCTTATACCCGTACATTTATTCGTCCTGATTCGCTTAATTGTAGCTTAATCTACGTAAGATTCATTCATACCTTTCACGTTGCATTAAAGTTGCTGTTTTACGCAGTCACAATTATTCATGAATACATGTACGCACACAAAACATCACAATGTTTATTATTGCTCTAACAGCCATAAATTGTAAGCATCGTGATATTTACTGACTTCCTACATTTCCAAGTACTATGAGATTAGTGAGAAAACACTCTCAATTGCCACATGAACAGTACGTGCTAACAAGCACTTTTCCTCATGTACGCAAGCCACGCGACGAAAGATAAAAGTTGGAATTAGAGAGAGAGAGAGAGAGAGAGAGAGAGTTTGGGCATCTCCTGGCCAGACCAACGCGCTAGTGTTATTATTATGGCCCTTGGACCTGGTGGCTGCAGACAATAGATAGATTACGTACCTAAACCGGGAAAGTATTGGTAAGTCACGTGAGAATTGATGTACACGTGCTATGGGTCTGGTCTTGGTGCGTATACTACGTATTATGTTCAGCGAGGCCGAAATTAGCATATTTATGATCGAGCTGTGGCCGGAAAATACTACTTTTAGGCCACTGGACAAAGAAAGAAAATTCTTCTTTCCTTCGCGCTAACTGCTCGCCAGATACGTTTTTACGTGCCCGCATTTTATGTTCTAGCCAATGTTTTGAAGCAACTCATGATGGATTTCAGTAGTAGGCGATCGTCGTTTATCGATTTAATTTTTTCATTTCTTAGTAACTTAATGTTTTACAATTGATCGTTGCAGTCAAGAAGTTTTACGCCAATGCCAAGATTCAAGAAAATCATAACTTCCGAATCGGAACTAAAGCTAAAATAAAAGCCATCGTCGCGCCAAAATCCGCAGGTCATTTCGTTCGAAGCATCTCAGCTTTCTGCAGCTCGAAACATAATCGGTGTCGTAATAATCGAGGTATGTTTCATCAGCCAGATGCGAGAGATACCGACTGACGTCAGCTCTGTGCGCGTACACGCGCTTGCGGAATGAGGGCTGCGCTGGCTGCTCTCGCGATGCATACCGGCGTCAATGCAGCACGCCAACAGAGAGAAGATGCACGAACCCGTTTGAAAGATTATTGTAAAAATCGAATGGAGGTTACCACGATTGCGCTCTCGAATGAGGATCTGATCGGATGGAATCGTTTCGTTCAATGTTCCATTTTTTCCCTTTTTTATTTCTTTGTTTTTCGAGCGAGGATACTTGATTTTAACAAGTGGAAATAAGTATCGCGCAAAGACGAACACCACTCGAAAATGCTGTTACTCTTCATATGCAAATCCGAGTCTTTTGTTCGATTACGTTTATGTAGTTATTTCGCTCGCATAACCTTGGCATTATTAGGTAAATCGAGATTGTGCCGACAACTGAAAAATTCTATCTTTGACGACGAGTAAAGAAAAAGAACGATGCGCTTTCAGTTGTAAAATACCTTGTCATTGTCTGTTTCTTTTTTCCGAAAGTTTATTCCGAGCCATCGCCACTTGTGCGAAACACGAGCTACGTATCTCGACTTGAACGGCTCATTATCAATGATTACAGCTAGCGTAGATATTTAACTGTTTCATATGATTAGCACGTGCATTCTGGCGATTGCACCTATACTCATCTAGAAATCGATTCGAGCGCTTCTCTTTTTATCTGCGAATTCTCCGAAACTGAAGAAATTATACTTGTGACCATCGCAGTTGTTCGAATGTCAATGTCAGAAGATAATGGAATGAAAGGTGGAGTTGTCGGGCACAAATCTATCAGTAATAACAAAGGAAGAAGTTATTGGTAATAAACTGACAAATCGACATTTTTGCCGATAACAATGGCTTTAGACGCTGGTAATAAATCATCTTCGTTTGACAAGTTTTTTCACGAGCCAGTCCACGATAGCAAATAATCACAACGAAGCCACACGTGCACGTGAACTTCCTGTTAACTCTGTGCAATGAAGCATACGCACGATATGAATCGAAAATGGCACGGAAAAATGTGTGCGCTCGACGACGAAGAAACGGCACACGCGCCCGTACAATTATAGAAACCCCAAAGAAGAAGAAAAAAAGGCAATTGGACGGAAGCCCGCGCGATGATTGCGCAAGTTGCACTTGTGCGGTTCTCTATCGCCCGCGGGGATTGAATTACGAGTGTGCGCGATAAAACGGCGATCGAGCTCGTTGGATTTGGCCGTCAGCACCGCAACGAGTTTTCCTCGTAACTTTCTGTCGGCGCGAGAGTATATCCCGACAATGGGACGTTTCGTGGAAATCTACTGTTTAATCGTACGAATGATAACTATATGTAATCGTAGCTTCGAGCTTGTGTTTACTTGAGATTGGCCCACCGGTTGAACGTAAACACGGGCATTCTTCCGCGACGTTTGACGATTGACGCGATAGCTCGTTGCAAGTTCACAGATTGATTGCGCATTGCATAACGGCAAATAAAAAAGACACTAGCAAACGGTTTTTCTTCGACAGATCGCGCGGTGAAGGAGACGAGCGGTAGATGCGCGTCAGCGCGGAACGGAGAACTTTGAACCGCGCGCACTTGGCGAAAATGACGATGACGCAACCTGAATTTGTCGTCAATCTCAATTTACGCTATCCGCCGATAAGCTTGCGCAGTCTGCTTGTCACACCGCCGCGTCTAGCAGCCGAGCGAAGGAAATTTGCCTCTCGAATGTCCATTTAAATATGCCAAGGCGCAGAATGTCGATCCTCGATCGGAACTTGCTTCAACGGAATTCGGCGACGATCGGTTCGAATGGGCATGCCCGACATAGTCGACCAATTTAGTTCCGAACGATGGCACAGCGGATCGGTCTAATTATAGTGACTAGTCGCGATAAGATGCGAAATTCGAAATTAGAAATTGAAGCCTTCGCGTGTGAGCTGACTACGCGTGACAAGTGACAAGGCGTTTCTCGAGAAATTCCCGCCGATATATATAATAATGCGCGTACGACTGACGACATGCGGCCCTCCTGCGAGCGCCGACGGCGACGAATAAGGAAAAATAAATCAGAGCCACGCGCGCGTTATTATTTGCTGCTCGAGAGTTGTGTGTGTGTGTGTGTGTGCGCGCGCGCGTGTGTGCACGCGCGTCTGTAATACGCAAATTCAAGAACTCGCACGCACGCGAAAAACTCTGCGGACGCATTAACAGCGAGTCAGCTGCTCCACCTCTTCTCGTATATAGTAGCGCCTCATTTTCTTTTACCTTGGCGCCACTTTCTGATATGCGTTTTCTTGATGTTCTTTATTTGCGTTAACGGATGTGATCTTGAGTTTTGAGTAGCCTCGGAATGGTATTGTTAGTATTGATTGAATCACTTGAACGCTTTATATACTTATGAACATTATTACAATTTTCTTCATTTCAAAAAGAAATATTGCTCTGTTAAAATAAGCCATTTTAATTATAACAAACATATTTTCTTGATTTGAGTATTTACTTGAAAGATGCAGCGAATTTAATAGTGTAGTTTGAAGAGTTGAGAAGTGCGAACGTGGGAATGGAAAGATATTTCAACAGCAATCGAATGATAAATGGTAGGCATGTGACAGGGCTAAGTCAAAAAATGTGTACCAAATTAAAATAGTCAATTTTTATCATTATTTTCTTTCATTGAAATCTAAAATTGCCAAGAATAAGTGACTGCATTTTATTTCGATTAACCAAATTATAAAACGAGCAACCCATCAAATTTCGAATAATCATGATCTTAAAATGAAATAACACACAGGCTTTGTTACAAAATTCATTTATTAGTATTGAAAAACAAAGATTCACATTGTAAATTAATACAAAATTCACATATAAAAATATTGACAATCAATAAAAACATATCATATGACAATTATACTTTCGAATATTTTTAATTAAAAAAACACTATGCACATTGTAAATAAATACAAAATTCACATATAAAACAATTGACAATCAATTAAGCAATATCGAATGATAATTATACTTAAACAAAAGTATAGATTAAATGATAAAGGTAAAAGGTTATTTACGAAGCCGTCGGATTTCGTAGAAAATGTCAAAAAGATTCCGAAAGACAAATAATTATATTAAAAAGAAAGATCGATGACATTACACTCCCATAATAGCAAGCAGCACCGCGACAATAAACAAGGCCGAGATGTTGCTCTTGATGACCTCTTCGCACTCGGAATAAACATGTCCAACCTTATTACAATGGTAGCACTTCTTAGCGTTCGTATCGATGCCTTCAGCAGGCAGTCGAAACTCATCGACATGTTCTATTAGATATTTCTCCATCTCAGCTAAGGTTGTAAACTGGTCGAGCATTAATTTCGAACGGACATCATCATCTAAACCCAAGACCACGTACTCCATAGTCAAAGCCTCGTTGAGGTTAATCTTCTCAGCCAGATTCTTCATGTCCGTTAAATAATCATCAAGAGCTTCGCCTTCGAGTTTTTTTCGTTTGGCCAACTCTAAGTGAACCCTCGCAATCGACATATGCTTTTTCTGATACTTCTCGGTAAATTCCACTTTGAAATCCGAAAAAGTGTTAATGTCTCTTCTCAAACCAACTAACCACTGACGAGCCTCGCCGTCGAGTGCCATTTTCGCAGCGAAGAACGTTTGTCTTTCCGACCAATTGTAAAATGCCGCGATATCGCAAATCATCTTTAACCAGTATTCGGCGAAGTTGGTCGGGTTGGTGCCGTCAAACTTGGCCAACATGAAACCGGCGTATCTCAACGAGCTGTCCTTCGTCTCGTTCAAAGCTGCCGGCGCGAGACTTAACATACCCCTGCTGTATTCTTTGCTGTTTTTCTTCAAAGTGGCATACGATTCCTTTAAAGTGTCGTTCGCTTCCTTTAAAGCGTCGTTCGTTTCCTTTAAAGCGTCGTTCTCCTTCTTCAGTCGTGTCATTTCCTTTTTGCACTCTCGTAGTTTGCACTCGAGATACTGGCAGAACTCTTGCATTCGGTCGCGTCGTTGACGTGAATTCAGACTGTTCCGCGGCCGAAAGTCCATGCTTTCTTGTTCCCAGCATTGCGGTATGTGATCGAAACCGAGACTCTCTACCGCGGCGACCGACGCGTTCATGATAGTTGTCAAGTCGTAATTTTGGAAAACTGAATCCGTTAATTTGGAAAGCTAAACACCGACTGAGGAACACAACGCCGAATTGGCCTTATAGAGTTTGTTTCGACGGAAAACGTTGAAAGAGAAGAATTAGTAGAGGATAATGCAAGTTAGGGCAATTGGATTATGTCAAGCTACGATCTACATTTAGAATTACAGCTGATCTAACATTAATATATTAAGCCTAATCAGAAAATGTTTAGGTCAATATAAATATTGACCTAAACATTTAGTCAATATAAATATTGACCTAAACATTTATATATGTACGTATGTGTCCGGTAAAATTGAGATTGAACATTACTATAAGTATAAATTATGCGCATACAAATTGGATGATTTTACAAAACTAAACAAAAAATTATCGGAAATAACGTATGGTACAGTATAGATGACAGTCGCTCATTACTTCGCGTTGCATTTGCAAAATTGACTATATGAGTTTGAATATTACATAGTATTTGAATATACAATGAATTACAAACAAACATGACATTTTATGGTTGTTTTCGAAGTGTACATATATTTTAACACTCTACCCCTTTCAACGTGAACCGATGTGATAGAGTACTAAATATCCGGGTTCGAAATTTGCCAATCCTTTCATGGACGTACAAAAATTTATCCCTGTTTGAATCTGTCGGTATGCAGGCGTACATAGCTGAAGATGAACTTCTAAATCCGATCATTTAAATTTTCAACAACGAATGCGTCATATCATTCGTATTAAATTTTTTCTGATGCGTGTCATTAGCGTAAACATGGAAATAATTTTTGGAATTTCCGATTGAATCATCCTCATCTCGTCGAAAATCGGCGGACTAAAAAAACAACAATAATTCTGCTCGTACTTGGTATCGCTGCTGCTCAGAGACACTGCATGGAGTATTAACCTTTTTAGGCTTGACGTCACAACGAGCGGAATAAAACACAAAATGATTCTCGCTCGCATGAGAGGAGAAATCCACGATCTTTGCATTTTGCGCGACGTGTATAGAAAACTCGTTTCTCTTTCTCTCGCTACATCCGGGAATCACGTGAAGCTTTTACGTACGATTACATCGTGCGATTTCACTGTGCGTTGGGATTTTCTTTTTGGATTACTCAGTGACACTTGTGATTTAGTGGCGTTGAATAATGACACTGATAGCTGTGTCTGAGATAATTAAAAATGATTTAGGGTGTCTTTTCTACGACTTAAATTTCAATAAATTCCTTAATTCTAACGGCCTAATAGTATGAAAAACAAATAATAATTTGCTTTTGGTTCGCTCAACCTTTACTGTGATTTTGTAAACTCCGTTCAACACCAAATCATCGATATAGGCAATCAGACTCGAACGAGAAAAAGAAACCCTTTCAGAGCATCGGAAATACGAGAAAAGGGAATGCCGGAGGACAACGACCCTTTTGTAGTAGATAGCCCGAGCGCCAAATATCGGTAAACCTACATTTACGGCGTCCTTCTCGTACATTGACCTGAACTATCTAGAAAAGTCCAGCGAATGTTTGACAAAAGAGCATATAAATATAACGAATGTAAGGAGAATCGGCCTTTGACTCGCGCTTTCGCGCGTGGCTCTTGGCTTTCCCTTTCCTCCGTACACATTTCGTTGACTCTTTCCTTGTCGCGCTCATGCGGATAAGATCAGTCGAAAGGTCGTCTGTTTTCATTGCCGTCGCTGCGAACCTTGCCGATTGGAGGTTCAATTGGCGTATGCTCGGCGGCAAGCGCACGCGCGCGCGCGCGTAGAAAGCGTCTCCTTGAACGTGATTGTGACATTGAGAAACTTTTACTTGCATAGCATAACGCATAGCCGTACGCGTCGAGATAAGCGCGCTACCGATCTTTTGGCTTTGGACGCAAATTGCGTAAGGGCAGACTCCACAAGACGGAATTCGCGATCGATGAGGTAAAATTTAGAAAAAAAAAAAAAGTCAATGGATAAACAATAAAGAGAGGCTGAAGCGCCCACGCGAATACCGAGCCTGGCCGTCGTCATCGTGTCGTGCAGTTGCGGGACAGTCCCGCCTCTGCGTCCGACTCTCCCTCCTCCCGGCGCGCGTCTTACCATTACTATTGGGCTGCCTCCACCGGCCGAGCTCAGTCTCGGCATTGGCGTCCGGCAGTGCGCTTCGTTCGAATGTGATGTGCGTTGGGAGCTACTCGATATCAGTGCCCTCGTGAGAATCCAGAAGAGAAAGTGCGTTGCTTTCGGCTCGATCGGCCCGTTGCCAACAGTCGGCGAAGATGATGCGCCAGGGGGAAGTGTTCACGGGCAACTGTACCGTATGCGTGGAGTTCCTGCAGCGCTACCACGATCTGCTGCAACGGGTACGTCTGCTCTGTCTCTCTCGGGTACCATAACCTAAACCTCGGTCCGCTGTGCGAGCGCGCGGAGCCGTTGACCCCTTTCAGGCGCGCGCCCCGTGCCCGGCTGCGTGCATGGTACTACGGGGCCGGCGCCGAGAGGCTTCCCGAGCGTTGGCGATGCCGCGGCAGCGCCAAACAGCCGATTTAAATATAGGTTAGCCGAGCCGCTTCGTCGGAGCGAAAGCCAGGCGCTGCTAAAACCGTCCAGTGCGCCGGCCTTTAACGCTCGGCATACCCGAGCTCTTTGGTGGTCGGTCAGTCTGCGCGATCCCCGGTGTCGCCGGCAAAGCGATTCCGGAAAGGGCACGCGAAGCAGCCGGCGGTTGGTAGCAGTGCCGCCGATGTTCCGCGCGCCACGCCTTCCCTGCGAATTCGCGCGAGGCCACGTCGCCGCCGCGAGACGCGCACGCGACAGGGCGACGAGTTGCGAGTGACGCTCGCGGCATGCGCTCAAGTCATCTCGTCGATGACTGACCGACTTTGCTTGCGAACATCCTAGAGCGTGACGTCGACGCGCGCCTATCGACGGAAAGTACGCGCTGATAACGAGCGTCAGTGTGCCGCCGAACTGTCCAACGTTTCTTTTTTTTTTTCTTTGTTTCTGTTTCTTTCCTACTTGTAAACAGCTGATTGACACGAGGGTACGCGCGCGCTGCCAAGCGGCCCCTTCGGACTCGTCGACGCTCGCCCATGAGTAATCGGTTCTCCATCGATTATTATCGGTCACGGAAAAATTCGCGAGCGTAACTCATTGGGAGATCGAGCTGTAAAAGGGAATGCAACTCGACGGACTTGTGCGTTGTCGAGTCCCGTTCGGCCGCGAAGAGGAAAAAATATAGGCCGCGCGCGTTAATGTGAGTCAAGGCTGTGCGCGCACGCGGATATCTCGACTTTGCCGGTGAATTTAAAAAAGAACCGTTGACGAGAGCGCGTTGGGATTCCCGCGGAGGCGCGCGCGCGAGACAGCATAGACTCGCGGAGGTGAGAGAACGGGGGGGGGGGGGGGGGGACGTGTCCGGAAAGCGTTGTTTCGAGCGCACTGGCCGGGGCCTCGGGTTGGCGAAACCGAACGACGAGCGAAAGGGAAAGGGTTCAACAGGTGTGCCGCTCCTCTCGGATTCGTCGAAGATCAACGGGTGGAAAGCTCGGACCGAAGTTCGGCTTGGACGCGCGCGCTCAACGTCGGGAACTTTTTCGCACCGCCTTCGGCACAATTGGCCTTTCACGACGATCAGGCGACATTGCGCGCGACACACGTTCGCCGATAATCAGACAGCGCCGAACAGCTTGTGCGTTTCACTTCGTGAAATGCTCGAAAAGTATGAAAGTGGAAAACTCGATTGCGATAAGAGCGGACGCAATTCGCTCGCTAATCACGCCTCGCGGCGGTGGAAGCTAACGTAATGAGTACGATTTTTACGCTACGAATCAGAGGTCAAAGCACTCGCTCCTCGATGTAGCGAGCGCAATTCTTACTATGCGCGTACATTGATTTGACACGCATTTCGAAAGCTAATGGAACTTGCCAGAACAATGTTCTTGCGATGCGCTTGAGAACGAGGAACCTTTGAGGATTTGAATGATCTGCCAGAGCTCGTTGCCAAGTCTCGTGTGTGCCGTAAAGATTATTGCGAGTTTAGCGCCAATTAAACTTTTACTTCCTTATAATTTCGTTTCGAGCTGGAGCTTTGAATTCGTTATGAATTTTCCTGGCATGCCTTTCGTCTAAGAAGCCGACGGGCGATCGTTGCGAATTCCGGTCGAATGAATTTCTAACCGACATCCTTGAATTCACATCTGCAGAGGACAACTGTAATCGGCGCATTTCGATTGGACGAATACGCTGGCGAGCACGCCGCGGAGCGTCGTCCGCCTCGCAATTGATAAATCCGCCGCTATCCGCAGCTGTCCGCGAGTTGAGCAGCGTCGAAAGCGAGAGTGACGCGGATCGAGTGGTGGTCGCACGGCGGCCGAGCGCGCCGACCTCGTTCGCCTCGCGTCTATATAGCGGCGCAAGCTCAGAAAAGGGGAGCAGAAACGCGCCGAATCCGGCCCGCACTATGACATTGGGCCAACTGTCTCGCGCTGACTGTACTCCCATCCTGGCAGCCAGTAGCGATCGCGAGCTCGCCGTGTACCGCGCCCGGGGCTCCTCGCGTTCTCCTCGATTTATTTTGCCTTCCGTCCACGCGCTCGCGAGCTCGCCGAGCACGCCAGGATGGACACGCTGGACAACATCGACAGCGACTTGTTTCTTGAGATGTACGTCAAGTTAAGTATATCCATGAGGCGCGTGCGCTCCCCGTGGAATCCGATTGTCTAGTTCGCGTGCGTTTTGTCGCTCGACCGCGTATTCGAAGAACCGTTCTTCGCGCGCGCACTGCCGCCGCTTTCGTACGTGTGTGCGCGCGTGCTTGCTCGAAAGCTTTTGTGCACACGTTACGTAACGGATGCAAGTCGCGTTGTGAATTATATTCGTTATATAAATTTCGATCGATGAAACTTTGCGTGCGAGTACATTTGGACGAATGTGATATTGCAGCTTAGCCCGGTTCGCTGATACCCAACAGTGAACGATGCGGCAGGTGTATGATCGTCAAAGTGATTGCTTCTCGAGCTCTACGTAGCGAGCGTTGATTGCTTTTCAGAACGCAACGAATATCGTCTTGTCGATATCAACTAATCGCGGTTCGGTCGAGCGTCACGTGGACGATGTCAACGGACAGAGTCGACGGTGGGAAGACCCCCGTGAGAGTTTGTTTGCTTCGTGCAACCTCGAAGCTTTCGTCGATAAGACGGACAAGCGCGTTTGCCATTACTGATTCAAATTTCTTCGGCTTGTTTGCTCGACCAGCAAGTTTTGCACAAAACCAACAGGCACATATATACAGCCAAATCAAGTGTAGGCAACGAAAGTCAAGCTTGCAACGACAACCGATAATCAATCATGACGAATTTGTAAAATTGAAATCGAACCGGTTGGTCCTTGAAATTTATGCATGCAACTTCGTTTACGACCGTTACGTAAGCTTCGAACGGTCTCGGTTCAATTATTTTAACGTTAAAAAATAAAAAACGTGTAACCGAGAAAATGCACAATCTCATGCTCTAAACCTTTGTGCCGCAGAATCAAGGAAACGCATTATTCAGATAATCGCGTTGGCTCATTATTCATTTTCCGCCAAGTTCAGCAATCGTTATAAAAAAAAAAAAAAAATCAATCGAGCTGTAATTGATACGTAAAGCAAAAATCATTGCTTCACTTTGTCGGTTGAGCACGAGGTTATACCAATCACTTGGCATGATTTTTTTGTTCAATATTCTTGTCTCGCGAGCTTTGAATCTGTTGCTCGTGTTACAATCAATGTCAGCGTCTCTTTTTCATGTGTGAAATACGTACGGGTCACGCCTCGGGCCTGACGCGTGTCCATTCGGAATCGGATGACTGAAAGAGGCAGCGTAAATATTGCGACGTCGTTTGCAGTTTCTGGGCTTGAACTTTACATCTGAATGAGATGAAAAATTATATGCCACGCGATCGATCGCTAAAAAATTAACCTTCGGTTCTTGGTTACGAAAGTTGTGCCGACAAAGAACCTCTCTCTCATTGAACTTGAAACGACTCGAGCTGTCACGCTGATAACGGAATTGCTTACTGGCTTGTGACTCACGCGTAATTGCCACAAGACTAAATGGATATCAATTTTTAATAGTCCACTTTTTTTGAGGGCACGTGGCTTGGCATAGCTGTTTCCAATCAATGCTCCGAAAAAAAAAAAAAATTTTTTTTTTTACTGTCTGTCGCGATGAAATTCAGACGAAAACAATTCTGACCTGCAGTGCATGCGCAGAGAAAGATGTATCGAAACATGGCAAAAGTTGGCAGTCTCGAATTTCCGCACAAGCTCGTCGTTTATGATGCCAATCCTATATTATCTCCTGTAAATGAAACAAAAATTCTGTTTTTATCAAATGGTTGATCGTGAATTTGAAAGAAATATGTGTGCTTGTGCTTACAGTATATGGACATTGGCGAAGACATCGGAGTGCCCGATGACTTCACCAGCAGCGAAATGGTATCTGGCATGTGGTGGCGGCATCTGCTTGCTGGTGGTGTTGCTGGTGCGGTTTCACGTACCTGTACAGCACCGCTTGATCGTATCAAGGTCTACCTCCAGGTACGATTTAGTCTACATTCCTTTTGGAATTGATTCCATAAAAAACAGGTTATGGCTTTTGTTTACTTTCTGTTTTTTGTTTTTCTTTTTTTTTTTATTTGTGATAGGAGAAAGCAAGTGCATTATATAGACTTTATTTATTTATAAATATTATTCGACCACAAAATTAAACATCAGATTGATAAGAGACTGGTGGTCAATGTTTACTCGAGCATGCTACCACTTTGTTTCTAAATGTGCATATACCGTTTTCGATAAAATATTATTGTTCAAGCTTCAATGAATACTTTCTCCATTATAATTACAGCCATACAGATAGGAAGAAAACTTGAAATAATTACCTTAGTACAAATCAACCTAATTAGGAAAAATGTTGACTGATTCTAGGTACACGGATCGCGACAATGCAACATCATGAGTTGCGGTAAATACATGTTCCGTGAAGGTGGCATGAAAAGTTATTGGCGTGGCAATGGCATCAATGTACTTAAAATCGGCCCCGAAACGGCTCTAAAGTTCATGGCCTACGAGCAGGTGAAAAGAACGATCAAAGGTTCTGACAATCGTGAGCTAAGTATCTACGAGAGGTTCGTCGCGGGTTCAATTGCCGGTGGTATTAGTCAGTCTGCCATTTATCCTCTTGAAGTAAGTTGTTTTTGAAGTCGAATACAAAAAGATATTTAAAAGGTTCTAACAAAATTGTTAACGCGTGCTGCTTCCGATTTGCCACAGGTGCTAAAGACACGGTTAGCACTGCGAAAGACAGGAGAATTCAAAGGCATTGTCGACGCGGCGGAAAAGATTTACTTGCAGTCGGGTATCAAAAGCTTTTACAGAGGCTACATACCCAATCTCATCGGAATCCTGCCTTATGCAGGAATAGATTTAGCTGTATACGAGGTAAGCCTTCTCACTCTTGTTTATTTCAAACCAACGCTTATGTCTGCGATCCGTCATTAACGTTTCAATATCTCTGCCTATGTAGACGCTAAAAAACAACTACATAAGGACGCACGACAAGAACGAGCAGCCGGCAATATGGTTGTTGATTACGTGTGGTACGGTCTCGAGCACCGCTGGCCAGGTATGCTCGTATCCGTTGGCTCTAGTCAGAACGCGGCTGCAGGCGCAAGTCGCGCCAGAATCCGGACCTAACAATATGGTTGGCATCTTCACAGACATATTCAAAAGAGAAGGAATACGCGGGCTTTACCGTGGCCTCACGCCTAATTTCCTAAAGGTGAGTACTTGACTCTCTGTTTGAATTTAATTTTATCGTTATGAATTGAATATTTAATTTTTCTGCACTTCAGATTTTAAAGTAAAACCTAAAAATTTTTAGTTTTCTAAATTTACTTTTAATGTAATGCCATAAAAGAGGTTTTACCAAATAGCTCTTAATAGCTTTTGAAGCTTTTTTTCAAAATCTTGCTGAAAAATATAAATTTTTAAAAATAACAAAACTGATAATAGTAGTAATATTTAGCGTGCTTCGCGGGCTCTTTCTTTTGTTTTTCTATTATTTATTACATTATTTGAACTTTTTACATGCCTACTGAGAAATTCTAATAGGCACGAATAAATCATGTTTGAAATACGCTACATCCATCTATATGCATTGATGAATAAAAATAGAATTTACAGCTATTTTCTCACAAAACCCAATGAACTTTTACTCATTTCAAGATATATCTGAAAAATTATCCAAAAGTTTGATTAAACCTACGATTAATAAATTTTACTAAGCTATAATACTAAACATTACATACTTAATAATAGAGGTTATGACCCCAGTCTTATATTAATATGAATAATGCATTTAACATCATATTTTTTTCTTGTCTCATTGAAAACATCTGTGAACATTCTTCAAATTGAACATTCTTCAAATTAATATTCTGATAATTAGTTTTCATCTCCCGCATCCTCTTAATTTACAATCTACAAACATAAAAATGTATTTTTCCCTAGTTTATTCTATTTACCTCTCTCTTTAAACCAAATTTTAAGATAGTATTAATTTCAGTATCACAGATGGTTATAAAATAATCAATTTTTACTAATAATTTTATAACATAATTTTATAATCTCTTATGTTCTCAAAACAATTTATCAATGGCATATTTATATGCCAATTATTATTCTTACAGATTACTTATCAACATTATTTATGAATGGAAGTTACTGTCCAAATATAAATATTACACTTCTAGATACATGATACAAATATTCAAATATTTCAAAGAATACAAAAATTCGAAATTAAAAAAAAATTAAAAATAAAATAAAAGAAGAAAAGAATAAAGATTAGAGAATAGTAATAGACAAAAATGTTACCATATTTAAATAACTCAATTACCATAATCATTGAAATAATAAATATGATGCAAATTCAACTACACGTTTAAAAGTAATTTAAACTAAATCATTTCCATTCATCTTTTGTTGCAGGTTGCACCAGCAGTATCAACCAGTTACGTCGTGTATGAATATGTCCGATCAGCGCTAGGCGTCAACATGACGTGATGAAAATATTACCTAGGTTTATCAATTTTTATTAAATTATTCTGTAATTTTACGCTAGGAGTATACAGTAATAATGCAAAATGAAATTTGACTAAATGAAATGATAAAAACAACGTGAAATACCGCATGCGTGCATCGTTAGAGTATGTGACTTGCTGGAAAAAGGAAACAGGAAATCCAATAACTGCGGCGTTTTCTCTTTCTAATTAATCGTAATTTAATTCAATTTATTTATTGTTAAACGACGTTGTAAAATTTTCTCGAGAGCCTTTGCGACTTCACCGTTTCAGGTACGCTATATATTTTTACAGAGAGAGTGATATTCATTTCTGCCTATGACGATAGAAAGATTGTTGAAAAAAACGTGAGAAAATACTAGATATATGTAAACAATTACAAACACTTTTTAGGATAGCTGGGAAAGCTTGTCTCTTAAGTTTTATTTGCTCGATTATTTTTTTCTTCGGGTGATTCTAGTTTTTTTTTAGTGCAATGCGAATCATGATGAAAGTTTCCTTTTAATGAATGCAAGCTACGAAAACTCGACACACTTTAGTACGCTCTAGCTATTCCAGTGGAAAGTAAAAAAAATTAGGAAAAGAGAGTTCGGAGCGAATCTAGTTTAAAGTGAATCCCGTACAGCAGGTTTGGAAGGGATCGACTGATTTTTATTTCTCGGCGGTCGATGACGTTATTAAAGTAGTGCGATCGAGTTATACTTACACTGTGATAAGTATGATTATAAGGCGTAAACGTGAAAATAATTGGTGTGCAATTCAACAATCGATGTCTCTCTATTTCTCTACATTAAGTAATCGTGATGTAAAACTAACAAGGCATCTTTTTTGGAATCGTATGCGGAACAAATAGAATATACAAAAATAGTTCTTTTGCCTTGATACAGTTCAAAGCAAGTAAAGATTTAAATTTATTTGCTTGTCATTCAATTTCTTGATACCTGATCGCGTTTAATCCATTTGTCAATGCAACGCCATTCATTCCTTAGTTAAAAGAAGAAAATGAAATGAGAGAAATAAAACATCTTGTGAAACCAACTTCTTGTACATTGTAGTTAGAAAGATATTTATGCGAAATAAAAGCGTTTCTGAATTCAGCTTGCTTAGCCTATCGAAAATCTTGTTGAAACATGAAATAATTAATTCTTGAAATTTTACAAGAAAAAAGTAAAAAAATGTTCATCTTCGCTATGGAATAAAAAATAATAAAAGGCTGCGAGAAATTATTGTACGAGGTGTTTGAGAAAAATCTTATTTTTATGATATACGTATAATTGAAAAGCGACTTATTATTATACATTTTGGATTAATTATGTGTTTATAACAAAAGAAAACTTCAATCACAAGAGTATTTGAAATCAAAATAACAATGATCAATGATTCAATATACATGTGATGAAGGCAGTTTTAGCTTTACAGAACCGAGAAGTTATTATACATGACTAAATGATTCATAGCGAAAGCGAGACGATGACTTTTTCTAGTTCTTTTTTATGGCTCTGTGTCTGAATATATATTGATAGTTTTTTTCTATAAATAAATGTAACTTATTGACTCCTCCACTAAAATCTGTTTTAAATTTTATCTACCATTCATTTATAAACCTTACCTTACCTCCCATGAATTTAATTTAATTATAAATAAAGTAGAATTGAGGTATATAAACGTATAGGTGAATGCGGACATAAATAAATGCATTATATTTTTATCGTTCTTTCCCATGTGTATTTACAAACGGTAATTAAATGCATACAGAAATTTTTTTTGTAATTTAACCTTAATAGTAACTGATCTAACTAAACTCATAACAAACAATAAATATTTTGTAAAATTTTATTATAAATATAATCTTAAAGCTTTCAGAGGTTCAAGTGCAGTCTTCAGATCAGTTATTACACAAGTTGAAATAAAAAATAAAATTTTTCACTAAAAAATGAATTTTTAAGTACTTAAAAAAACAACATATAGGCCATAAAACAAATTATACAATGCACAGCTGTCAACAACTGTACTTATTAATTTCTTTTAGTAGATGGTTATGCTTTAACACTATTAAATATATTAATTGCCTATCTATTTTCATTTTCCATTGCTATATATATATTATACAAAAAATATCTATATTATTGCTATATTATACAAAAATCGTCTCACATAGATATACAAAATTAGTTGTCCGATAAGTGTAATTGAATAAGTTATAAAGTGGAATGTAGTATCACGCAAAGTTGTAATTATGGATAAAATAAACTATAAATCTTCTGCAGCATCTTTATCTAGAATCCAATACAGTTTGCCATGAAGGGGCATTACCTTAGCTGCTGGTAAATTTTCTTCACCATCCACGACACGCTAAAACAATATAAAAACATAATTTTAAAGTACAGCCAAGAATATGGATGTTAACTTGGAAAATGAAACTCACTTTGACCATTTCTTTTTTACTGGATCCAGTCGCTGCAAATATGCACACTCGTGCATTGTTAATCACTGGAAAAGTCAATGTGATTCTTGATGATGGAGGTTTGGGTGAGTCATTAATTGAACACACCCAAAAACTAGTTTCATCCAGAAGTCGGTGGTTGGGAAACAATGAACAAGTATGTCCATCAGGTCCCATTCCGAGAAGCAAAACATCAAACCTTGGGACACTATGAGGTCGAAAATACACTGACATTTTCTTTATGTAGTCACTTGCTGCTTCTTCAGCTAAAAAGTGAAATACATGATGAAATTAGATTTTTGTAAATGTAAATAATACAGTATTCATAATGATTCCAAATTTAACAGTTTAGTTGTAATAAAATACATCAATTACCTGAAAGATTAGGATCAATCTTTATGAATTGATCATCAGTGACAGGAATTTTTCCAATTAAGCTAGCTTTGTACTGACCATATGTTGATTCAATATCCTCAAAGGAAACAATCCTTTCATCACAGAAAAAGAATCTCCACTTGCTCCAGTTTGTTGAAATCAAAGGTAGACCTTCTGTCAGTAACTTGACCATTGAGCCACCTGTGCCAAAACACATCAAAGATAATAACCATTGACCAAGTATGTCTCTTTGAGTAGAAAATGGAACGGTTAGAAACTACATACTTTTGAAATTGACATAAGCAACATAACGTAAAGTAACATAACGAATTGATTTACTTTATTGCATCACTACTAGGAGTTTTCAAAATTACAAAAGACTTAACCTTTAAAGGAGTTTTCAACAGTTGTGGGGAAACAATTAAAAGTCGAGTCAAAGGTCAGACGTTAAAAAAATGAAATGAAATGATAAATAAGCAAAAGAAAAACTTACCCGACAGGCCAATCTTAAAAATATCTTCTCTTTCAATGGCCTCATTTGCATTTATCTCGACGATCAATGCGAGACGCCGCACCACACCAGCAACGTCTGGTTCAATCAGTACTTCCTTAATTTTAGACATTGTCTTGTTGTGGCTGACTGTTAATGAAAAATTGAGACTCAAGAACAATATTATCAGCAAGTAACTTAAATTTGCTGACCGAACAAAGCGGTTTTTCAATGTCGCACGATCAATCATCAGGTCAGACTTCAGTCAGACTCTTCAGCAGTGATGAGAATCGGACAGTGATAAGAATCGGATGAGCCATAAAAAATGTTATTTTCTAAAGTCGTGACGAATCTAGGTATGTTTTATAACCATGGCCGTTTAATGCTGGGCGGGTTGAGCCAAATTGAATAGCTCGCTTCGAGATCGCTCAGGAGTGAAATTTTATAACGTTTGGTACCATATCGCAGTAAGAACATCACGTCATCATCATCATCATTCCCTTAGTATGGAGAGGCTCTCTGAGAGCCGATATGAAAATCAAGCATGATTAAAATACCACCTTCGTGTAGTTGCGCATACGCAGTACAGGAATCGCGCAGTTGGCATATCGGTGTCATGTTCGGTGTATCACAAGGAAACTCCTCCAACCCGACCTTACCGTCACCGGTTTTAATATTCTTTTAATATATGTTATAGTTCATGAAAAAATAAGACATACGTGTTTTTTTTTATCGGTGGAAAAACATCTTGAGGGGATGCAAACCGCCCTCGAAGTTCACCCCCAAAAATGGATTTTCCAATGTATCTCAACTTTTAATTGATATTTTACGATGAAACAAATTTCATATCACTTTTTTAGATATTAAAGTTTGAAGTTGCGGCTGATAATTAGTTGATTGTTACTAATATTTATTATGAAGAAATTATAGATGGACAAAAAATCTATCGATTTGTATATTTATATTATCAAAATTAATTATCTTAAAATAATATTAATACTGTAAAATAATAATTTATCTCCTTATGAATTTATTATTGCTAAATATCGGTAACATCCATATATTTATATTTTATTCGAGTTTATTTAAAGAATAACAATTTTACACTGTAATTTGATGTATATTAAAAAAAATTATTAAAGTTATAAACTATATTTTTATTGTTTATGTACTATAAATATAAAAATAATAAATACAAATTTCCCAAAAAAATATTCAATTAAAAAAGGCTTTAAAAAAATTTTTTTTTATTTGAAAGTTTCCGAAAATTCCGAAAGTAAAATGTAAAATTGTAAAATCAATAATGCTCTAGCTTTATATTCGTTAGTAAAATATTCTGATTTCTGAATTTCTGATATTCAGTATTCTCGCGTATCCAGCGCCATCTAAAGCTCTATATCGATATTATATTGTTCTCCTGACTCCTCTCGATCTTGCGGACGAAATCTAGACGAGAACGAGTTTATGTTAAGCTGACATTGGCGCCAAAGTGATCTTGAATTAATGCAATTCAGTATTCACTATTTAGTGGCTGTCTTGGTATGCATTGTAATGAATTGTTAACAAAAGGTTATTACTTCTTGTTATTTACTTTATTTTACTTTAAATTATTCAAGCTGTTATCAGTGAACAAAATTAAAAAAAATGAGTGAAAACAGTGATCCAAACAGTGTTGAAAATGCGATCAAACCAGAAGTATCTCATGAGGACTTGGAGAATGACAAAATTACAAAAAGAGAAGATTTGACTAGTTATTTTAAAAAGCGAGATCATAGTATCAATCATCTATACCAATCTGAGGTAATTTTATTTATAAACTAAAGGAATTTAGGCTATTTTATTGCTACTATTATATTATTGGTTTGATTATGAATTTCTTTATATTGCCTGTTAAATTATTATTTTTGTTTATTTCAAGTAATTTTATGCCGATTATATGAAAGACTATGGAAAGTGATTATTAATTTCATTTCAGGTACCACCAATTTGTAAAGATGAACCATGTCATCTCGGTGTTGACGAAGCAGGTCGAGGTCCTGTTCTTGGTCCCATGGTTTATGGAATTGCATATGCTCCTGTGTCTAAAAAGGAAATTTTAGTTGACATGGGTTGTGCTGATTCAAAAAGCTTGACCGAACAAAAAAGAGATGCTATTTTTGACAAAATATGTGCCAATGGTGACAAAATGGGATGGGCAATAGATTCCATTTCACCAAATTATATTGCGAACTGTATGTATCGAAGGACAAAAACATCTCTTAATGAAATATCTATGAATTCTGCTATCGGCTTAATAAAGAAAACTATAGATGCTGGAGTTTTTATAACTGAAATTTACGTGGACACTGTTGGCCCACCAGAAAAGTATCAAGCAAAATTAAAAGTTCTTTTTCCTGGAATAAAAATTACTGTGGCAAAGAAAGCTGATTCTACCTATCCAATTGTAAGTGCTGCCAGTATATGTGCTAAAGTTTCAAGGGATCATGCGCTGAGAGCATGGCAATTTAAAGAAACTCAAAATGAGACAGCATATGGAAGCGGATATCCAAATGATCCAGCTACTAAATCTTGGCTTGCTAGCAATGTTGACCCAATTTTTGGATTTCCACAACTTGTCAGATTTAGTTGGTCTACTGCTGAAAAAATTCTTGAAGAAAAAGCCATTTTTGTAGAATGGGAAGATCCAGATGAAGAAGATATGTCAGTAGCTCCAATGAAAATTTCATCTTTCTTTGCCAAAAATCCAAATAAATCTAAAGAAAACATTAGACCGAGACATGCTTTTTTTACAAGCAGATGTTTGTCTAATACTATAGAGTTTTGAACTTGTATTGCTGTTCACTATCTTTTAAACAGATTAAGCTTTTTGTTGTTAAATTTATACTATTATTTATTTATTGTGAAATTCAAAGACCCTTTGGAAAAATTATGAACTTATTTTTTATCTTTCTTAATCAATGATCAAAAAATGTAACTGTATTCTGTATTCTCTTTGTACCATAAAATAAAAATCTAAAACTATTCTAAATATAGTAAGGTAATTGAAATTTATTATTGACTATAAATTACCATTAAACCATCATATTTATTTACATATTTACACATTTTTTTATAAGAACATTGTAGGATCAAAATAAAAATAAGCGGTTTTTTGTTATTATTTAACAAATAGGAATGTTAAGTTGAAAATCTTAAAGTAGTATATGTTTCTATAAATTATATTCATAATAAACATTATGAATTATGCCTAAATCTTCTTGTATCGACTAGATTAGTGAGCAAAACTTATTAACATAAAGTTTTTGTGATGACACAACAATTGTATAAGATAATATTTCTGTACAATTGATGCTGTTCTTTGAAGTGCAAATCACGTATATTTTTATAAATGACAATCGTGCAAATCTATAGTGTATAACAAAATTAATATGTGGATTGATTGAATTATATTATAAATTGGTACTTTTTACAATGATAATAATAAAATCAATTTTTATGAAATTGGAACTGTGTTCTAGTGATTTTTGCATGCGTTTAAAACGCTGAACACTACTGTTTTTTCACATTATTCATATTTAAGATTTGGTTTCTATATAGCATATAAAAATGCAATGTTTTTTCAGACTAGAATTATTGACTTTTAAATATTACGAATCTGGCAGTGATTTGAAAAATTCAGTCACGAATGAGGAAGGAAAATGGATCGATTTTATAAATTTTTTATAGATAAAGATTATCGAAGTTTGAAGCATCTATCATCAAAAACGTAATGTCACAATAATGCAGGTAATAGTTCAATAGTATCGATAAAAATTTTTATTTTCTTCATAATATTTATCTTCTTTTAGTAAATTATTTTCTTATCATCTTTTAGTCCACGAAATGATGGAACAATTCGTCCTCTGCAAGTTCGGAACATTATTTATACATAGATAATTATTATCTCTTGATACTATTTTAAAGATCTAAATGCGAGAAATGTTTTACTTTTGAAAGAATTACACTTTGTTCATTTACGATGCATATTTTTTCATTCCGATATTTCGTCAACCTTGATATAAAAAAATAATTGTTACCTATTGATATCAATATCATTTTCAATAAAGCCATAAAGAAAAAGGACTTATAGTGATATTAATTTTATACATTCGTAAAATGAAACATAAATAAACAAAGTGTATCTACTTTTTACAATTTTTGGAAGATGCCTACAATAATTAGGCTTCTTGTTTAAAATTCAAATAAAAAAACTGTTTACGGCATATTTGAAACTTACAATAATATGTACATACGTTGATATGTCTATAGTTAAATACGCTCCAATTCGATTGGATTTTTCTGCGCACCGAATGTGTTTTATACGCAGCATACCAAGTGAAATGAAATTTAGTTCTTTCTTTAATAAACCTTTAGATTTGAACATGTTCACTTCAGTGCATTGTAAATTACATTTATAATCTACTTTATCAACATGGTTCAATACAAGTACAGCTTTTATTTATTAATTTTTTTTTCCTAGTAAACTCATATTGAGAATTATTCAATTATAAATATGAATTGGAAGAAAGGTTTTTTTATCATAGAAAAATAAATTAAAAGAAATGGTTATTTTTAGGTCATTATTTGATCATCAATTTTACAGCATAAATTACTTTTCAATTAGATTTTTAATACCTCGAGCACTATACAAATTTTATTTGGATGCTAGAATTAATAAGTTCAAAGTGAAAGTTAGTATAGAAAGTTTAGTATAATTCATGGAGTTCAGTGCTACATATAGATAAATGATTTTTTGCTCAATAACATTTGTCTTGAATCCACATAGTTTAAGAGTGTCAACGTTGTGAAAATGTGCGGAACAATATCAGTATTTAATGATGAGTATTTTATCTTCGTGAAGTCGATAAATTTGACATGCACTGAGGCAAACAATGAACAAGCATTTCTATATATCTCAAGGCAAATATTTGACTTTTATTTATACAGTGACTCATTAAAATGATCGATTTCTTACAATTTTCTTTCGTTATTAAAATAACTATATTATATATGTAACGAAGTAATTAATTTGGCATTATATATATTTCATGATACACTGTTGAAATCATTGGAATCTATGTTTGACAAAAAATATTGTATTTGCATGAATGTTCTGAAAATTCTTCGTTGCATGAAATTATGTTCTGAACTATTTATCACAGTCTCATCGTTCATAATTTATAACGCGAAGACTTCTTGTTATTTGTTATATATATACATAGCGACGTGCATAAGTTTCTGTCCAAAAAAAATCATTTAAAATTTAAAGTTTTGCAGCTCCGTCTAAAATGATCGTAGAAGAACGCACATAGACTCATTTTGAAGAGTAAAGCAATACCCTTTATATCCCGCCGGTATTTTTTATTAAAATTTTTTATTTTTTTTATTTTTTTATTAAAATATTCAACGACAATTTTAAACGGAGCTGCAAAATTTTTAATTTTAAATAATTGTTTTAGCCAGAAACTTACGCACGCCACTGTATATAGACACTGTTAAAAGATATTGACAGGTTAACATTGTTTATTTTAAAATCCACGTTTCAACTGTGTATCGCAAACTTGAAATATCCATCAATTGCTTCATAGGTGCAATCCACGAACTCTTTCCGAAGTTTCCGCAATGAATATTGAATTTTTCAATTATTGCATGCCATCAATCTTTTATAGAAAGAACTTTTTCCGAGTAGTATGGTTCTTTATTAAAAAAAGAAAAAAACTTGTACCAGATCTTTAATTCGTGGGTTTATCAAAGTCTGGTATCTCTATTGGTTTCGAAAAAGCAAAGCTCCATTCATTACTATATACCTCTCTCAATCAACAAATAAAAACAGACTTTGATCAAAAGCCATATTCACCAAGGAGAACTCCGGAAAAAAAAACTAGAAAATTCACTCAATCGGAAACTTTCTCTCTGTCTCTCTCTCCCTATCATTCTCCAAATATCTCGCAGAATTGTATTCACATTCGACTAGGCATATAAAAATATAAATAACGTTCAAATATACATAATACGTATAGTACTCTCGCATTCTCTGTGTATGTGTATATGTGTATTTGCATCGTCGAATCACTCACTTTCACACGTACAAAGTCTTTTTATTTGTTTTGCTCGAACGGTGAGATAATTTTGCAACAAAGTTTCACTCGACTTAGCATACAGCTTCCTCTTGTATATATCGCCCGTTCTTACAGTAGTTGTTGTAGCGAAGAGTAGATGCTAACGATCAGCAGCGAGAGGCCGGATATGAAAATCCTCGGCTGGTTGCCACTGCTGTTACTGCTGCTGCTGCCTGCTGCAAAAGTCAACTCTCTTTAGTCGCAAAGTTTATACACAATGCGCGCAATGGGCAATATAGCTTGCGAGGAGGAAACGTGAGAAAAGTCACTTGAGGCTGAGGGAGACTTTAATTAAAATTTGTTTTACTCTCGCCGCATACAAAGGGAACTTTCTTTCTCGCATTCTCTTTTTTTTTTTGCAGCCCAAAAAATAAAAAAAAAAAACGGCATTTCTCGCGCCACTCGAGTATGTACGTATAAATGTACATATATATATGTATATACTCCTGCACAACACACTCGTCAGGAGCCAAAGGGGACGTTTGCGATTGCTGTTTTCATTGCCGTGTGCGAGGATGTGCGAGACTCTAAAAACAAGAGCCCCAAGTTCTTTTTTCCGCTTGCGAGCTCTCTCTCTCTCTCTCTCTCTCTCTCTCACTCTTTACTCTTATTTTTTCAGTTCTTTTTTTGACGACTCCCAGAGATGAACGTATAATATATTCTACGTGTGTTAAAATTTCTATAGGGGCTGGAGAGCAAAACGAGCAGAGGGAACCCCCTAATATGTGTGTGTGTGTGTGCGTGTGTGCATGTGTGCATACTGGCATTACTGCACTTATTATAGCTTCACAGTTACGCGTCACGGAGGTATTTATTTGGTGCTATAAAATGTTAAATCTCCGTAGGGGTGCTTATTTTTACGCTTATACCGATTGTCTTTTGTGTAGTCTACTGATGAGTATTGTCTTCCGATGATAGAGCATATTTATTTATTGAAAAATTTTTTTTTATATTCCAATTATATTTGTAATCTATTTAACGACAATAAGTATAGAATAGCAGTAAGACAATGATCTTAAAAATGGGTAAAATTGTAATTTGAAATGCATATTTCATAAAGATACTTTTCCAATGATCAGTATAAAAAAACTAAAGAAAATGTGAAACGAATCACTATACATTTGTAATGGATCTTAAAGACTTATTATGGAATCCTACAATGATATCAATGATTGCTGATTTGCTGATGATTTGCTGATAATTTGCTGCTGTACCTTAGACTTAAATCCCATGTATTCATACTAGTTTGATCATACATTTATATATATTAGTAATATACTATTGATCAATGATTTGGATTTTCTGTTTTTTGTATAAAACCAGTAGAATTTTCTCAGCTGTAGATTCAGTTGTTTACGTTTAGTCCAAATGTGAATTCTCCATGTTAGTCGTTAATCTAAATGCATCCCACGGTATTTAGCTCATTCTCCTTGAGGCATTAATTTTTATTCATATATAATGAATGACAATTGTCTTTCTTTAAGCTGTAGCTTACCTAAATTGACTTTATTTCATTTATTATTGATCTCTATTGTTTGAACCATAGTAGAGCTTTATCTAGAAATTCCAATTTTTATTGGATACAGCTTAGTGGTTTTCTTTTTTATTTTAATCTTGAAATTTCTATTCATTTTATTAAGTTGATACAATAAGTCTTTGTGCCAGACTTTATAAAATGGTTCGGCTACATTTTAAAATACTGCATCGCAATATTCGTTCTTTTTTTTTTTTTATTTTTCAAAAGCATTCCGGATTTTAATGGGTACTCTGCTAATTTCTTCTATGGTACTATGATAATTGCAGACTTTTGAGTGTAGGAAATGGACTGATTGGTTCGTAGGACGCAATAAGTTCGAATGATATATCTAGTTTAGGGATGAGTATGATGATTGCTATTTTCCATACAGCAGGAAAATAAGATAGCTGAAATGTTATATTTATCACTATAGTATCTTTAATTAATTATTCAATCCTTTGGCTTTCAGAGGTAATTCCTTTAGTAATTTTTTAGTAATTTTATAGTGTCCTGGGCTCTGTTTTTGATTGTAAAATTAGTAATTACTTCGTTTAAATAAGGGGGGTAAATAAGCTTTCAAAGATGTTTAGTAAATGTAAGTGCTTTATTAATAATTATTTTTATCCACATCATGTAAGCTTTTAAAATGAGAGAAGACAATTTTTAGGGTTGTTTTATTTTTTTTTTCAGAATGAACAGTGAAATACTTCTATACCAGTTTCATTTTCCGAGTAGTTGTTTATATCCGTATTTCTTTCTATAAAATAATTTTTATAAGTTCTTTAATTAACTAATTATACTTTGTTTTTGGTACATAAATTTTGTAATTTCGTATATTTTTTTGATTTTCATTAGTTTTTATTTCTAAAAATTAGTAGCAATGGTTGTTTCGTTTAATATTAGAAATTGTTCTTACTTTGTGATTATACAATTTTATTTTTTGTTTTGAATCATTTAAGTCAAGTGAGGGCTTCATGTTTTTGAGAATCTTACGTAGTATCGTACGAGCCCCATGGCTCTCGTTCCAAATGAAATTATAAGAAACGATCTGCAGGTTCCAATAATAAAAGAAGAAATTGTGAAATTTTATGAAAAATATAACTCCATACTCAAATATCATCTAAATAAACTTATCGGCAAACTTCTCAAGACATCTGTCACTAACACCAAACTCAAGAAATATAAATTTATGAATACATAAATAAATCCTAATCTATTTGATACATGCACGCTTTAAAACTAAAAATAAGAAATAGAACACTGGATTTTTCATGAAATTCTCTGAATTTCATGTTCATATACCCAAATTGTAATAACATTTACTTATTGTCTCAATATGTTAGATAGGCTGTAAATAAACTAGGAATAATAAAAAAGAAATTATTGTTTAGGTCTTTGATTTTGTATGCATTTTTAGCGATTTTATCGAGATCTGTAAATATACTAATATTTAAAACGCCACTTATGAATATCGGCGGTAGTTTTGGCGATTTGAGGTCTGTTAGCGTTACTCGCGTTGTATTTACTTTGCTTGTTCTGTCTTCGTCTTTAACTTCCAATTCTTAAAAATTTGTTGCTTAGTTCAACAGCTACGTTGTTGAAAATTCCTAGCCAGTAATCTCTGATGTTTCTTAATTATTCTATTTTCTTCCTATTCCTGGCTATTTACGAATCTTTCGTTTTGCACAGCATTCACTTCACTTTATTCTTCCGTGTTGTTTATTATTGGTGATGTCGGCACTGTTTGATTGTTTGCAACCATGATAGCTGGTTTTAATGTTAAATTTTAAATGGATATGTTGATAATTTTATTTTACGCTTCACGCGAGACTTATTTTATCGGTTATTTATATATATATATATATATATATATATATATATATATATATATATATATTATATAACTTATTGCTATCAGTTGCTCAGATTTTTGGGTGGCGTTTCGGCGCACGTCTGTTTAAGACGAGCGCTGCAAGCCGAGTGATTGAAAGAATAAACAAACTGTTTGTCAGCGAGAAAGAGAGAGAATATTGCTTGAATATTGCTGGAAGATTCATTTTCTTGTCAAGATTGGCTTAATATAAAAATATGCGAAAAATACGATTTTCTATTCGCCCGTACATTTGTTTTATAGAAAAAAAATTATGTGCGTATACCGGCACGAAGAAGTGAATTTGTAATGTAAATTCTTCATTCTATAAACGCGGGATATGAATTTTGAGTATATCTACATGAACATTACATAAAACATTTTCAAACTGCATAATGCTTGAAAATTGAATTGAAAATAGGGAGCATTTTCGTCTTGCAAATATATAGTTTTTTATAAATTCAAAACAGACGGCCATATAGAACTTAACTCGTACGTTTATACTGTGAAAGTTTACTTCAGAGGAATATGAAATAAATGTCCTTACGCGAATGTATTCCGTTGTTTTCTACAAAAAAGCAATTTTGTTTTGTAATTGAATAATTAAACTAAAAGCCTTTTTACTTGCAACACTGATAGCAACTTGTGCGTTATATTTTAATCTAACGAGAGTTTTAATCTCTGCTACGTGTCTCGATTATGTATGCATGTGAGGGTTCGCGCATCAATATTTCGCGCGCACATCTGAATTCGTCGTGGAACCTCTTGCATCTGAGTTACATTTTCTCTAGACGCGTGGAATATCTAAAAACGTCTACTTCTTCAGTAATAAAGTTTATTCGCATTTTTTTCGGAAAAGAAATGATAATCCCACGATTCCAATGTCAAGATCCCTCGGAAAATTTTGAACTCTTTATTATTTACAACTTGTAATATTATATTTTAATCAATAATTTTCTGAACCGTGGTGCGCGAGAAATTTGATTGCGAAAAGAGCCGCATCCTAATGAATTTGTCTGTATAATCGCACAACTCGTCGGAGTAAGCAACTCCCCTTGGAGCTCTTGTGAGATTTAAAAATTCCTTTTTACATTACGTAAATTAGAAAGATATAGAACGAGATAAGACGACTAATTAGTTAACTTTTGTAAAAAATATATTCGCGCGGATGTAACTATTACGAAATAAGATTTGCAATGAATTATTTTTGTAAGGATAGAAAATATCTGCATGCACGCATCTCAAAATTAGATTCAACTGTATTATACTCGGGCAATTTAAAGTTAAGCGTGACGTTTGTGAAACGTTATTTTCGACCGAGTACTCTCATTCTCCAACGAAATAAAGCGCATGCTTCAGAATAACCGCAGGCGCAATTCGCAGCTAGCTCGCACGCAGACGCACGATGTACGAAATCGCAGTGCGCGGAAGTGTATTTGTAAAACTCGACACCGCGAACAAACACGCCGTCTATCGGTCGATATAGCCGTGGAAAAAATAAGTCAACTCGACCCGTTGGAAAATCCGTAATTGTCGGCTAACAAAAGTCCGGTGAGGTCGCTCTCGGCTTGATAGCGGTATTTGTGCGTCGGTTCGTTTAGCGCGAGAATAGCCACGGCACGTTTTAATGCCCTTGGTTATAACGCGGGCACAGGATCAAGCGGCGAAGAGGACGCGTGCTCGCATAACGAGGTTTCATCTCCTCCTTCCAAATTAACGAAGGGATCAAACTGCTCTATCTCGCTAATTGGTCAGACGCAAATTATTTGGTCACCTATTCAATTACACTCGCTCTCCCTGCTGCTGCTGCTGCTGCTGATTCTTTTCTGTCTCGGACATAAATTGCTTCACTGTATTAGGAAACGACCATCGCGTACGTTTTTGGAAAATGTATGTGCAGCAGGTCATTAAGTTTTCGGTCGGGCAAAATTAAGCGATTCCGAAGTTTCGAAGCGGCACGCGAGCTTTGCAGCTGTTGCGGCAAAATTGCTTTTTCCGGCTGGATACACACGAGGTGAGAATATTGTTGTGAGATTTCCGCTTGGTTTAATGACCTGTACCGTCTATATTGATTCAATTAAACCTTGAAGAAATCCGACAATTACATGTATTCAATTTGCGTTCACGCCATACATTACAATTATTCGTCATTCGCGCTACGACGGATATTTATCAAGAAAATTAAATCGCTTAAAATGATATATCTGGAATTAAAATAATAACTCAATGGCAAGAGTTCAGCGGGCGTTAATAAAGTCCAAACGGAAATTATGCATTTGTACGGATGAAATACATGTGCGCGCGTGTGCGTGTGTGTATCGATTGAACTATCACGTCACATCGCAAAACAAGTGGCTAATCATCGACAGCCAGAGCAGCGCGGCGGACATTAATTAACGTTCATTACTCTCGTCAGTTCCGCTGCGGGCGTGTGAAGAAAACAAAGGAATGCTTTTATCTCGTGCCGCCGCCGTGAGTCGTTTCCTCCCGACGGCTGAAAAATATAACGACAATTTGTGTTTTGCGGCAAAAAAGAGGACGACAAAGATAAAGTACACCCGCGTCTCTGAGCGTTTTCTAATTTGCACCCTTTTCGCCAATTGGTATATTCGATGTGTGCGTCAATTGCTATGCAAAAGAAGGGACGAGAAGGAGATAAAGCTAGAGCAAAAGGAGATAGGAGGATCAGAGAGAGGAAAATTACCCAATATGTGTTCAGCTCGCGTGTGACCCTGTGGTCTGGTCTCGCGGCTTTCCATGACCGGGGCACGATTCTGCTCGGCTCGATAGCCCTCGATGCTGAGCTCGTTACTTTTCCAGTAGACCGAGGCAATGGTGGCGAGGCACTTTATCTTCATGTCGCCTCGCTTGAAGTGCTTATCCCGTATCCGAAACTCCAAACCCAATACCGTCGTCTCCAGGCCCTCGCGGTCCACCTCCGTTATAAACGGTCCTCGCAATAAGGGCTGATCCACCTGCCAAACCAATCATCATTTTTTAATTCGTGAATAGATTAAAACCGCGGTCTCGATTAAATAAGTTCTCGCCGACATAAATTGCGGAGAAGAAAAGTAACGGGAATGGTTTTGTCAATTTGTTTTTCTCGCGCATCTCTCGGAAATGACTCGCAAATATATCCCGCAAAGCCATCCGCTTGAACTACGCCGCAGACAGTGTAGTAGCAGAGGATGACGAATAACGGCCATCCGATAATTCATACGAGTATGTGGAATGTGTGTATTCTGTACATGCGCTAGCTCGAGGTGGGCTATACGCTGGGCGTCCTGATACTTTTCGTGTTTTAATTTCGTAGCTAAAGCTCGGCCAAGTCCAAATATTGGCTTTATTAAAAAAGTTAAAATTACAACACGCCGTATGAAATTTATGATTGATCGGCTTGTCCCAGCTTTGACAACACGTTGCCCTCGCGCGCTCACACTGCGCTTTAAATATTCATTTTTTTTTTTTGCTGCTGCCGTCGTCATCGTATATGCCTTGATGACAAATAAATCTTTTGACAGTTCTGACTTTCAATCACGAGCGACTGATTCAGATTTATTACTGGCCGGGGGATTTCGCGATTTAATTAATATTACTTATTGCCAAAACAAATAGTTTGCTTTTGACTGTGTGCATTTATTTGACCATTTATACATCCATGGCAATTTACGGCCTGGAGAAATTCAGTCGCAATAAAGTTTTGATGAAGCTTTTTCGGCCTTTAATTTATCAAGCGCGATTCTCCGTCGCGGTCAAACGACAAACAAAGGGCTTTATTTCGTAATTTTGAACAAAGGAATGCACAATGTTGATCAACAATCTTCCTGTGAAATTGCCAGTTATTACACTTTTTCCCGAATAAACTCATTGAAATTCACGGGAGAGCTTGTAGTAGGCGTGGCAGTAGTTTAGAAAACAACAGGCTTTTATGAAAAATGAAACGAAAGCTAGGGCGGTCCTTTAATAACTGTCATTCCCGGTAAATTGCCATAATCGCAAGAGCGAAAGTACGGGAGTGCTGCGATCGAAAATTCCGTGCACTTACCGGCTCGCCATTGATGAACCAGCTAAGCATCGCAGCGGGTTTGGACTTTGCGGACGTACAATTGAACCGCACGACATCGGAAACTTGGTAGCGTTGCCTGCCTTGTCGTCCATTTATGACGGGCCCTTCTTCTGGTAGTGCTGCAAAATAATTTACAAGTTCATTATCGTATCTTGCCCTCGCTCGAATGCATTCGATCATCCATTTTCAAGAAGAAAGCATTCGGTTTCCGTTAAAGCCAACAATGCCTATCCATCCCTCTAATCACTGTAACAATGAGTAGAGGGCCACCTCCGAGTAGTACTCGCGGTCTGTGGCATAATTCGGATATTAGGTTGATTTTCCACGCTGCCAATATCAATTAGCGTGCGTGTGTGCGGGCTATTAATCGCGAACAAAGTCATAGCTCTATAGTTGCCCTTATGCATGGCTGCATACACATTCTGTGCGTATATGTAGGTATACCCTTAGACCGCCGACGCTGACCGTAAATCAGCGTTACATTTGCTCTCTAATGCGTGACATTATACGCATGCGGACACATACCAAACACGCGTACAATAGGACCAACTGACTTTATCGGTCGCTTGTTTTTTCTTACAAACAACATACTACGTGCGTGATCATCTTTTCTCTCGTGGGATGAGTTTATTATAAATAGAAAAAATAAACGGAGTAAGGTTTCCGTGTCAGGCGAAGTTTTATTTGGCCAGTAACCATAATACTCGTATACTATCGCGATAGACTGCCAAATATCGTGAGTAAAGATACTCTTGCTTGTATAAGATAATATGTTTTTTTTTCCTCAAACCACCCTAACATGAAAATATAGCTTAGCAGTAAATTTAATTGAGTACAGCTGGAGCATATCATATAAAAGCTGCAAAGGGTATCGATAGCGTGTTGAGTTTTATTATTCTGGTTGTTTTCTTTCGTGTCGCAATCTGAATCTTAAATCAATAATCATCGTGCTTGACTCATTTTTTAAGCTGTAAATAAGCCTTTTCCCCAATTTTTCGAAGTAGTAACGTTAAAGGGGAAAAAGTACCATTGTATATTTCAGCTCTAACTGCATTCTGGTATAATTTAGAGTGTACTTTGCATTCATCTACCTAATCTTACTAGTAATCGATTACTTCTTCAAAGACTTCATTATGATATCTTGTTTATACGCACGTTCTACCGACTAGAATAATATACATTCAGTCTTGCGTGAGAAATTTTAATTACTAATCTAGCAAACGATTTGATAATACGCACTTGATATGTGTAAGTGCAAAGCAGTAAGCACAAACGTAGCGGATGAATGACGAGAACGAGAGAGAGAAAGAGAGAGAGAGAGAGAGGTGTTGAGTTTTCATACAACGCGCACGTGACTGAATTCTCATCTATTGGTATTCAGATTATTATTAATTAAATTTCACGCTTCTAGTGGCAGAGTTCATCAGTTAAAGCTGGACTTATAATCAATGTAAATGCAATCGAACGCGGAAGATAAGCAAATTATCAAAATTGAGAGAAACCCAATTGATCTAGTAAATCGATTATTTTAAATAAATAAACAAATTTGGAAAGCTACATGAAAGTTTTAAAAAAGCCATAATAAATTCACTAAATCTCTTGAAATATGTCACACCGAAAATGTGTGAAGAATTACATCGAATCAAAGTCGTCTTTCGTCTTTAATATTCGCGTCTCTCAAATTTCATTAAGGTCTATTGCCTATTTAAAGTCTAGATATAGCGATGCCATCGTTCGCGAGAATTCAAATCCAATTTTACGCGCGAAACTCGACTCAGGAATGAATAACTTACCAACAACGAGCATGTCGGAGTGATCGGAGACAGTTTGAAAGGCAGGCGCCTCAGCCGACACCTCGCACCTGTATCGACCGGAGCTCATGAGATTCACCGAATTCAGCACTACAGATCTCTCGGTCGAGTTGTGGATCTGCAAACAGACAGATGGAGAAATGAGACATGTATATTTGTGGGTTTCAGTTTGCTGAACTGAACGTTGAGGTAAACATCAAATCCTATTTCAGTTGTTTTTATTGACAAGCCAATTGGCTTTCTTTTTCATTTGCAGGTGTATCGCCAGTCAGTATCGACGTGGCACACGGAAAAAAGAAAAATCAATGGTTGAACGCCAGCTAGTTTCCCTCTGCGGCTGAAATTCATCCTGTATTCTCGATTGTGTAATTTGTTTTACGAGCTTAACACTGTAAAGCTCGTTAACACGGTCAAGAGTAATACATCGTCAATACGACGCAGTCAAACGAATTAGGATGCCAGAGTCTTAACCGCTCTTATTATTAAAAAGCAACTATCGCTATTATAGGCAAGCATTTATTAGTTTGATGAATATTCAAAGAATCGTATTGGACGAATCTCCGGAAAAAGGTATTGCGTTTTCAGGAATTTGATTATCACGCTCACGATCGTTAAAACATTCAGCGCGCGGCGATGGTATACACAGAGTATAGAAATACATGAAACATCCATTAAATTTTTACGTTCAAAGGTCTCGTCTGGAACATTTAACAGGATTGTCGCTTCAATTATTCATTAGCAATCCTCGAGCAAAGCGAGAGGCTATATACATCCCGCCCGTTATACGTGCCCCGGTTATCGCGCCCGTGCTGCCCGTGCTGCGTCTGTAATGTATCTTTATGCCTCCTTATCAATTCTCATTTTAATCTATTTTTCAACTTTTGCCAAGCGACTCGCTTCAATTTACTCACTGGTTCGAACGAGTTTTTATTTAAGAATTGTTGGTTTAGCGCATATTCTTCTTTTTGTAAATCAATACATTCGTCGATGAACAATTGTTTTTTTTTCCAATGAAAGCTTACACACATGACTAGCTTTTACAACGCGTTGCCAAAAGTTTTCAAGAATCCTCGTAGAAGCACTTCGCCGTACGCATTAACGACGTACCACAAAAGTCGAATGAGTCATAAAAGTGTTTTCTTCCAGCTCTCAAATTTTTATCGCACGCTTTGCCGTGATTCATTTTATTTTTATTTCTTCCAAAATACAAAAAATATATCATTATTTTCTCGTTTTGAATGATTGACACACACACATACACACACGAGGTATGTTTCTGAATGAATCCCTTTGGCAAGCAACTATTTGAAAAAGCTATCGAGGCATCATAAAATCTGATGCGCTATAGCCCTTTTGAAAAAGCTCTCAAAAGCGATTCTGTCAAATAACTCTCGAATTCGACCTATAAAAGTGCCAAAGCCAGAACGAGCGAAAGAGCGACGAACGCAAAAATTGCACACAAAAAATTCCGCGATATCTCAAAAGCTTAAGAGTCTCATTTGGGCGCCGAGGAGAGGAAAGAGAGAACACTCGAAAAAAAGGAAAAACGTCAGCCGCAAAAATAAGAAAAAGACCGGACTACTCCCCCTAAAAGCATATACCCTTAAAACAAAAAGGAGGGGGCGAAATCACGCGCTTGTCATCTCTCCCCTCTCACTAAGGCAGAAGGCAGAAGCGGGAAACCCTGGAAACCGCGATATGACGACGAACCGAGAGGGTGATGCAGACTAATAAGCCGTCGAAAATGTATTTACACGAATTAACCGAGAGTGAGGCGACGAGCTGCCTCGTTAATTCAATCGCGTTAATTGCCACGCGAGACATTCATTTCCGTTTTGCATTTTAAAGCAACGTTGATTTTTCTTTCACCGCTTACTGCTTATAATTATAACGACTGCGAGAGCGGCTTTTTTTTCGGGGTCAAGCTTCGTGCGCGCAACACTTTTCAGGCTCTTTAAAACCTACTCTTCATTTTTTCGGTCGAGTTTTATTTTTATACAGTAGCTCAAAGGGAGAAGCGTAATACACTTTGCCAGCGGCAATTTTTCGCGGATCTCGTTCTCACTGTGGGTGGCCCTAGCGACAGATGACTCCGATTTATAGGGGTGGTGACGAAACTAATGTTGGGCTTGCGTACATTGAGGGGTGAACATAAATGCAGGGGAAAAAGTAATTATTTTAGATGTTTACTCGGGCTTCCATCTATGACTGTAACACAGTCTCTGTAATTGATTGTATTATGTAAGAGATTGGATAAATCCTCTGTCGAAATCTGCTCTCCGAAACTGTTACCTTCCTTTACGTCAGATTACTACGTGTGCACACGTTAATAGTTGTACATTGCGTATTCGAGTTCCATTTATTTTCATTTAGAATTTCGGTGTCTTCATCTAATTTACAATATTTATTAAGTACAATAAATAATATATTGATAGTGTGGAACTAAGTGTTTTTACTACTTTTTTAGTTTTCGTACTTTTTAATTTGTAAACGTAAGAGTTTAATGTTTAACCAATGCATGTCGAATCTGACTCACGCTGACGAATAAAATTATATGAGCTGCGAAATCAGAAATCTTAGCGATAGACATCTTATCGAGCTTTGGCAATAAAATGTGGACTGGTCGTAAAAGTCGTACGACGACGAGACATCATCAATTAAAAGTTTCCGGCGTATATATGGCGTGAAACGATCGCGTTGATGCACCAGGTACTCAAAGCGGCTTCAATGACGTAGAAGCGGGAGGGGAGTTAGAGGATTGCCCTCGAGATATAATAAGCGTAATATACGGCACCACCCCATTGTCATCGTCACGCTCTGACCCCCCATGTACTCTTATCAAAGTGCCCAGCTGCATGTGCCTATCTGAAAGCGAGAGACTACACGCTATAGAAAGCCACCAACGTTAATTTGATATTTTACGAACGCTGCCGGTGCAACCCTTTTTGCATCCTTCCTTATCTACGTTCTGTGGTTTTTCTAGTACTTTTGGCAGATGTAAAAGTTTCTTTTTTCTGCTTGCTCGAATCCTTCGCCAACGCTGCGGTAATCAAGTGTTTTCTAGGTCACTGATTTTATAAAATAGACGCGGACTTTTAACTACGCCAACCTCGAAATTTTATTGTTGGTTTTTCAGTGGAGAGAGAGAAAGAGAGAGAATCCAGGCTGTTGTCAGGAAATGAGGCTAATTCTTCACTCTCTATTCTTCCTGTTCGTTCAGTTAGTTTTTTACGATGGCATATGATATAAGTTAAGTGGTAAATTCTAGGTAACCAAATTCGAAAATTACGTCTTTTTGTGCTCGATAGTATATAAAAATTTAGATCTGTAAAAAATACACTGGCTTTAGGTAATACAATAATCTGATCATTATCAGTTTTCAATTCGTCAAACCAAGAAGATTCGGAAGGTAGAAGAAAGACGGCTCTGTAAACCCATGGTGTGAACCGAATATTTACAATATAATAACCCTTAATAGATGTGATGACACACATCAAGCGCCTGGGTAAACAGTCGATAAAAGCATGTGTATATTATATTATAAACTTACATCGACGGTAACGCCAGGCAGAGGGAACACCAGAACGGGTGGCTTCTCTCTGGGCACAAAGCGATAAAACTCGTTGCCATCTTTGTACCACTTGACTGAATAAAGTATCACGTTGTCCAGATTGAAGTTACACTCGAGTCTCACGTTTTGTCCACGTACCACGTGTTGAGGTATCACTAATTCCATCATTCTCAGTCCATCAATCCCTATAAATTAACAAAAAAAAATAGAATGTAAAAAAGCAGATATAAAGGTTAGAGTTAGCAAGAGTTTCGGCGCGGGAGAAAACGTTCGCGTACGTAAAGCGAGAGAGAAAGATAAAACGATTTATTAAGGCTTTTGCCCAAAAGATAAGTCCTTATCTGCGTGGCTGTCGGCCGCCACCGAGCACAGACCTAACGAGCAAAATCAGCAAATTCCCCACACCTTCGTAGCTTATATTTCGACCTGGTTTTCATTTTGTTCTTTCGAGTTATTATTTTAGCTTTTCCGCGCCGCCGTTCATATTTGTTTCCTGGAAAATAATTAAAACGCGAAGAGGACTTCGCAAATGTTAATCGCTCTACCGCTGAATTATTAAATAAGAAGAAAAAGGAAATGTCAATTAATGCAACTAGCGAAAGTAAGAGCGCGTTGGATTTATAATTACATGAGAAGCAGCTTGCGAAAGTAAAGATTAACGGAAAAAATAAAGTCCGCTGAATGAAGGCGGACGTAACAGCCTTTACGGGGGATGCAGAGAAAAATCGAGTCACGCTAATGGCGCTCGATCGTTTTTTTTTACTCAACTCTAGCGGCTTTAATTTTCGCGAGAGTACTGCTTTTGTTTCTGTGCCCTATATAAAGATATTATCGACGAGTGCTGGTGCGCAAGAAAAAAAATTTTTTTTTATGCTATTGTCAGTTAGGATTATATATCGTAGATGCATTTTAGCTCTCGAAGAGAGTCTTCTTTCGATAAAGTATTTGCTGGTAACAACTGTCAGTCAGGAAGAAATAAGAGAGAAATATAATGCTGCTGTACGGGGTTAGGATATATAGTAAAATATCGTGAAAAGTTTATAACTTATGAAATGGAGGGATGAAGCATTGTGAAAGTTTTCGGGGAACTTAGTTAGTCTGATTTTCGGCGGTGAGAACTTCTTGAGTTCCCCTCTCTCACTCTCTCTCTCTCTCTCTGCGTGTCTGTATGAAATAGGAGTTTCGCTTATTTATGGGGATTGTGCCTTTATTCAGTTTGCTTAATACGCTTTATATGGAAAACCCTAATCTTTGCTCTTGCAAGCTTTTCCCTTGGACTTCGAAAAAACAGGTGATTCGGATTAAGAAAGGTTCTTCGGCTGGTTTGAACGTCTATTATTAAAAACTGAAGACGAAAATATCGATAGACGTGTAGAGATGAATAACGAAATTTGCACTTTCAATCATGAAGCGTTCGCAAGCAGCTCGCCAGAGGAGAATCCAGGCCACAAATCTCGATCAGATCCATAAATTACGATAATTCAATTAGAAAGCACAATTCTTGGCGAACTTTCGGCTGCGGTATAAGTATAGGCTGTCAGGTTTCTCTCGCGGCAATATATTTTCACTCACTCTACCCCTCTCACCATAGAACACTCTTTTCTCATCTTTTCCATCTTATAACCACCTTTCTGTTAAAGAAAGTGCCACGTGTATGTGCATGAACATACGCGTTGCGCAAAATATCATCTGAAAATAAGAAGCTTGACGATCTCTTTTTCGAATTATATTGTCGGCGCATATGAAATTTTGCCAAGGTGCGCAGCTACTTTGTCTCGCTTAAAGTTGTATATTATTGGAAAATCGAACGAACCCTCGAGCGCAACATCAGCGTCGCCGTCTTTTTTTTCCTTCTATCGCGTCTACCGTCGTGTGCGAGAGAGCGGGGAAGACTTCGTGTCAAGCGAAATTCTAGCATCGTTGCTTTCTCAGCAACATTTTTTTAAAGTCGTTTGTGCCACGTATTTCTCTCTCTCTCTCTCTCTCTCTCTCTCTCGCTAGGCGTTCGCCGACACGATGTAAAAACCTGTTACAACGCTGCAAATTATTGGTATACTTTGAAAATAAACTCGCTCTGCAAGCCGATTAAGCTTTTCTCGAAGAACGTTGAACTTATAAAGTGTGTACATATGCAGAGATTTAGTAATATGTGAATATGCCTGGAAAGTGTTAATATCGAATTTTTATTAAGGTTTTCATTTTCTTTCTAACTAAGACACGTATCCAGCATAAAAATATAATTCATGAAAGTGTGATAAAGGATGAGAGCATTTCTATCAATTCAGTATATCAAGTGTATGCTATTCTTTTTATATTCTGATCGTACACTATTAATCTGAAAGAAAATTTGTAATAAAAGTAAAAATATCATTTTCAAAAAAAAAGTATGAGAAAAATTGATATTTATTTTATTCTGAAAAACAGAGGATTTCAATTAATGTACTTTTTAATCAAATAATCAAATTTTCATGGGAATTTTCCAAAAACTTGATAAATCAACTTGATAAAAAGCTTTTCAGAAGTTCTTCCTCTCTCATCACATAAAAATGAAAAAGAAGGAAAAGGGAGAATAAGTTCAAGACCCTTAGAAAGATGAATAGCAACATTTACGTTCTCTCCAACAACAAAACGAAAGAGAAAAAGAGCAAAGTGTAAAAATAGCACACTAAACAGCCTCATTACAGC